CAAGAAGTTGCATCTGAAAATGTGGAAGTGAATCTAAGTACGGAATCAAAAAATGCCAAACTCCAATCAATTCAGTCCCAAAAAGTTGCATTACATGATGAATATGGTTTAGTGACACCGATAGAATCAATATATGAACATGTTGGAATAAAGGTTTCTTCTCCTGAAAAGGATGATAAAGAAGACAAAACAGAGACTCAACAAATAACTGGTAAACCTAATGAAAAGCGTAAAGTAAGAACGGAGACAAAACACAAAGAAATTGTAAGGATAGAATTGGATGATCAGACTTCAGCCAAGACTAAATCAAAAACATCAAAACTCAAATCCATGCAGTCTCAAACAGTTACAGTACATGACAAATACGGTTCAGTTTTTCCAATTGAATCAACACATGAACAGGTTGAAAGAAAGGTTTCTCTAGCTCCTGAAATTGATGTTGCCTCAAAAACGGGTAAACTAGAAGAAGACAAACTTGATACTCAACAAAAACTAGTTAAAACAGATGAAAAGACACAAGACATTTCCTCAATTAAACAAGGTAAGAAAGAAGAACAAGAAATTGCAAGGACAGAATTGGAAGATCAGACGCCAGCTGTTGCTCCTGAAGATGTGAAATCAGGGAGAAAGGCAAAAGTAAAACTATTCCAGTCCAAAACTGTCCAAATACACAATGAATTTGCTGCAGTTGCTCCACTGGAATCAACATTTGAGCTTTTTGAAAGAAAGGTCTCCATCGCTCCTTATATGGATAGTGCCACTCAAAGATCCCAGCCGGTACAAGTTGAGGATGCTGAAATAGATACTCAGGAAACAATAAAGAAAAGGGGTGAACACATTGATGTATCTGCAGGTAACAATGAAGAGAAGCGAGACAAAATCCAAAGAAAGGTTTTGAAAGATCAAGTTATAGAAACAGATTCAGCAACTAACAAAAGTACTACTTCAAAAACCTTAAAACTCAAATCCCTCCAGTCCCAAATAGTTACAGTACATGACAAGTATGGTTCAGTTTTCCCAATTGAATCAACACATGAAAAAGTTGAAAGAAAGGTTTCTCTAGCTCCTGAAATAGATGTTGCTGCACAAACAACTGAACACAAATCTGATATTCGACAAAAAATGGTTAAACCAGATGAAAAGTTAGAAGCTATATCAGCAATTAAACAAGTTAATAAAGAGGAACAAGAAATTGCAAGTCTAGAATTTGAAGATCAGACACCAATTGTTGCCCCTGAAGATGTGAACATTAGGAAAACTTTGAAGGAAAAAGTAAAAACATTCCAGTCTAAAACTGTCCAAATATATGATGAATTTGCTAAAGTTGCACCACTTGATTCCATATTTGAACTAGTTGAAAGAAGAGTCTCTCAAGTTCCTGATGTAGATAGTGCCATACAAAGATCCCAGCCGGTACAAGTTGAGGATGCCAAAATAGATACCCTGGAAAAATTAAAGATACAAGCACAGATTGACATATCTGCCGGTAAAAATGCAAAGCAAGACAAAATCCAGGTAAAGGTTTTGAAAGATCAAGTTATAGAAACAGATTCAGCAACTAATAAAATAACTATGCCAAAAACTGTAAAACTCGAATCCCTCCAGTCCCAAACAGTTACAGTACTTGACAAGTATGGTTCAATTTCCCCAATTGAATCAACACATGAACAAGTTGAAAGAAAGATTTCTCTAGCTCCTGAAATGGATGATGCTGCACAAACAACTGAAAACAAATCTGAGATTCAACAAATAATAGTTAAATCAGATGAAAAGTTAGAAGCCGTTTCAGTAATTAAACAAGATAAGAAAGATGAACGAGAAATTGCGAGAATAGAGTTGGAAGAGCAGACGGCAGCTGTTGATGTTAAAACGGGGAAAATATTGCTGGCAAAAGTAAAAACATTGCAGTCCAAAACTGTCCAAATACATGATGAATTTTCTGCAGTTGCTCCAATGGAATCAACATTTGAACTTTTTGAAAGAAAAGTCTCTCAAGCCCCTGATGTGGATACTGCCACACAAAGGAGTCAACCGATACAAGTTGAGGATGCCGAAATAGATACTCAGGAAAACATAAAGAAGCAGGACACAGAATATATTGATGTATATGTAGATAACAATGAAGAGAAGCAACCTGAATTTATTGGAACAGATTTAGCAACTAATAAAATGACTAAATTAAAAACAGCAAAACTCAAATGCATTCATTCCCAAACAGTTACAGTACATGACAAATATGGTTCTGTTTTCCCAATAGAAACAACATATGAACAGGTTGAAAGAAAGGTTTCTCTTGCTCCTAAAATGAATGTTGTTGCACAAACAACTAAATTAGAAGTAGACCCATCTGATTCTCAACAAATACTAGTTCAATCAGATGAAAAGCTCAAAGATATTTCAGGAATTAAGCAAAAACAAGAAATTGTAGGGATAGAACTAAAAGATCCGACTTCATCTATTGCCCCTGTTAAGACAAGACAAAAGTTAGAAGAGAAAGAGAGTATAAAAACAAACCAATCCCAAACAGTTTCATTGCATGATGAATATGGTTTGGTTTCTCATTTAGATTCAACATTTATTGAAGTTGAACGAAAGGTTTTTATATCTCCTGAAAATGTAATTGCTACAGAACAATCAAAAATAATAAAATCTGAAGACACCAACTTAGATACTCGACATAAAATGTTGAAACCAAAGGAAGAGCTTGAACACATAGCAGCAAAGGATGCCATCCAGTCAAAAACAGTCACGTTTCAGGAGGAATATGGATCAATTGTTCCAATGGACTCATTTGAGCATATCATGAAAAATGTTTCCATGGCTCCTGATGTGAATGTTTTATCATCAAAGATAATCCATCAACAAAAACAAGATATTCAGTTAGAACAACCCGAACATTCAGAAATTCCATTTAGTGTTGATACTACTCAAGAAGAAATAGATAGAGATGGCAAAGCAGAGGTGTCTGGAACAATGATGCAAGTTGAACGAGTCAAAAAAGTCCAAAAAAATGCAAAGAGTATAAAGGAAATCCAACCAACAACAGCCATAGTGTGCGATGCTTATGGTTCTGTAAGTGCATTGGAATCTATATCAGACCAAGTTGAGAGGAAGCTCACTTTGGCACCTGAGATAGATGCTGCAACAGAAATATCACATAAAACTGAAATATTGTCACATAAATCAGAAGTTGATTTGACTGAACAAAAAGCAATTAAAGATGCAAAGCTTTTGACAATTATGGAGATCCAATCTAAAATAGTTGAAATTGAAGATAAATATGGTGTAGTTACTCCATTAGATGTAACGTATGAACAAGTCGACAGGAGAGGTTCCTTCACTCCCATTTTAGAGTCTGCTGTTGAAAGTGATGTCCCAAGTACTGTTGAAGACATAGCCAAAGTATCAAAAAAAGAGCCACAAAAAAGGATGAAGATTTTGGAGTCTAAGATGGTCAATCTTCAGGAGCAATTTTGTAGTCTTTCTCCGCTAGAAGATATGGAAGCCAAAGAGGAGCAGAGTGTAAAAACAGTTGTATTTCCAGCTGTAACGACGTTGGCTTCACAAGAGCATAGTTTGGTTCAAGAGGGAGAGCCAAAAAACGATAAACTTGTAATATTTACGTCTCCTAATAAACTAGAACAAGGCATTTCAGCAAGAAAGAAAGACGTTCTTGAAGCAGAAAGCCAGGAAGGTCAAACCAAAAGTAAAGATGAGACTCTGTTAGTTACTGCAAAAGGAACTTTGTCTGCAACTAAAATCGTAAAGAAAGATTTTCAAAGTGTTGTCCCCATTGAAGTTGATCATGGCAACTTTGAGTCAAAATCTTCAAAAACACAAGTAATGGATTTTGTGCATGGGGAACCACTGATAGCAAGGGAAGGAGATGTTCAAAGAGAGACTTCTGATAAGCATATTGCGTCAATTATTGACAGAGAAACCGTAGGTGCAATTGAAAAGATTAAAGTACATGAAAGTAAACCTCAAATTACCGATATCACAAGAGTTACTCCAGTAGAACACAGGGCGGAGATTATGACCAAGAGAATCCTGCAAGGTCCTGACAAATATGAAGAGGTTGTCCAGGATGCAAATCAGGAATTTTTTGAAAGAAATGAATTGTCTTTAAAATTATTAGAAATTCAGCAACCAGAAAATTGTATGCAGGGTCATATTAAAACGCAAGAGACACCACGCATGACAAGTAAAATTCCAGAGAAACACAAAATTGACAAGATTAGTTTAGAAAAAGTTGCAAAATCAGAAATAATGGAGGTCAAAGCTTCAGTTCTTGAAGATGTCAAAAAATCAGGCCCAACAGAGTGTGACGTGATGCAAGAATCTGTCTCAGAGCTTCAAAAGGGTAAATTGTTTTGTGCAGGACAAATGGAAGTCAGTGAATCCCAGAATTATGAAATACTTGAGCCCTCAGTAAATAAGCCTCCAGTTGCAGATTTATCCACACAAATAGCTAGCAAAATAGTCTCTGACCAAACTGTAAAAAGGGGTGAATCTGAGGTTGAAGCATCTTTTTTGGTGGCACAAAGAAATGTTCCACACAATCTGCCAATTTTGACTTCATTGGAGAAGGATACTCACAAGGCTTTCACCATCGAGAAAGGAGTTAAGGTTTTGGACACTGCTGAGATAATATCACACCAAGAGAATTTTAGAGGTATTTTCAAAGGGAAATCACAGTGCACTGTGTTTCTGGTCTGGGCACCACAATCTTTTTTTCACCTTTTAAGCAACATCATATCATCACACCCATCTTGCTCAAGCACAAATGCCGCAAATTCTCTGAACTATATCTTTTATATTCTTATCCACACGGTTCAAGTGTGCTTTTTGACACTATTTGTCTAATTTTGTGTTGTGTAACTTACAATATGAAGAAGGTACTCTTTGTTTGTTCTTGTGGTTTTCATGTTGTGTATGTTTTGTACGTTGTTCAAGTCATCTCTTGTCTGTTTCTGATTGTGGCCTAATTTCATTTCAAGCCCCTGTTGTTGAAGAGCAGCAGCAAACAACACAGCCCAAAAAGGCAGTAGTTGAGCCACATGCTCCAAAAGAAGGTATCACTGTTACATTGCTCATGTTTCATGTTGTTTTATGTGTCTTTTGATTAGATGTACTGCATGTTAGTAAATATATGTGTGTAAAGCCATTGCAGTTGACAAGTTATAATAATTGTCTTAAAGAAAGCAAACCTAAAGCCCCACTCAAAGTTCAAGAGGCTGCCAAAAAGCCTGAAGACAAAAAAGAAAAGAAGGTGGAGAATAAAGTAACTCCACAAGAAGATAAAAAGCCAGGTATCTCGGCAGTAGCAGGAATTGAACCTTGTAAATGTAGCAAGACTTAACACTTTCTTCTTTGTTACACACAAAGTGGTCAAACCTGTGTCAAAGGTGGAAGAACCAGCCAAGAAGGTTTCAGAAGTGAAACCACTTGTAGTAGAAACCACAGTTCCAGAGAAAGGTAGCTACACGTAGAATTTCCATTTACCTTCATTGTCCATTTCACCAGCATCTTTCATCCAGAGTGTAATTCTTGTTTGAGTTTCATGTTGCTTATTTGGTCGATTAGGCCTTCTTGTCTTTCTGCTTTAATGCTTTAATTTAATGACCAGGAAGCATCTTTTAATCTGGTGCAATATATGTTTGAGCCACTCTTGGGTTTTGAATAATGTTACAAATGCATTCATCTTTAAAACATCCATCATCATGTGATATTATGTACAAATATTTGACTACTCACATTCTCACTCCTGCAAGGCCTTAACCTAAAATTGTAAAAATAAATACATTTTCCTAATTTTTCACTTTTGTGACTTAAAAAATAGATCAAACCAAGGGACCTGTCCAAGCACCAGGCGGAGTCAAGAAAGGTTAGTACAAAATAGTTTGTTTGCTTTTCTATACATAGTTGGTAAAAGTATTATTTTGTGTACAGTGTATTTTTGTGTGACGTCAATGTAAGACATTTCATGTATGTAATGTATTTAATGTTGTGTAACACCAAATCTCTGCTGTCTCAGAAATGATTGCACCCAAAAAAGTTAAAACTCCAAAAGAGGAGGAGGTGGGCACATTTGAGATTCCTACTTTAAGAAAAACCACACCAAGGGTCGTTAAGGAAACAGAGGAAGAAATGGAGATGATAAAACTCAAGAAAATCCCAACGGTTTCCCCTAAGCAGCCTGAGGAGGCAGAGAAACCGAAGATAGCCACTACAACGACAGTGTTGGCCGTAGAGGAGATGGTTCGAAGAGAAGAAGAATTTGAGGTTTCTTATGTTACCAGAAGAGAAGCGGAGGAGAGAAAGCCTCGGGACAAAGCTGAGTTGGTAAAAAAGCCGGAAGTCATTAGCCCTAAAGAAGTGCAAGAAGAGGAACCACCTAAAGATTCTTGGAAACGACAGAAAGCACCGCCAAAAGAGGAGAAGCCAGAGGAGAAGATTCCATTGAAGATCACTCCAAAAGTTCCCAAACCAGATGAACCAACAGCACCTCAAGCTGGTCTAAAGAAAGTAAAGAAAATACCTTTAGATCAGGAAGAGCCTGAAATGGTGAAACTTCAACCATTTGAGAAACCTGTCAAACCAATCGAAGAACAAGATAAAGACAAAAAAGACACATCAGACAAGGATAGAATGCCTTTTGAAAAGAGAAAACGGACTCCTAGAGAAACAGAACCCAAGGAAGCAACCAAGATGCCTGAAAAAAGTCCAAAACCCGATGAAGAACTTGAAAAAACACACAAACCTGCAGAGAAAAAGAAAACACCAGAGAAGATATCAGAAGATAAAACTTTTCCCATTGGAAAGGGTAAGATCCCTAAACCAGAGGAAAAGGAAGAGACAGTGAAGCTAAAACCATTCACCAAACCATCTGTTGATGATTCTAAACAACGTCGACCAAGTCCAGAGGAGAAATCCAAGGAAACAGAACCAGCAAAGAAGCCTGAAGCTCCAGAGATGAAACCAAAACAAACAGAGCCCGTCCCTGAAAAGAAAGCTGCTGTAGGGAAGCCTGAAAAGACTCCAGAGGAACCTAAACCTGCACAACTGAAGAAGGGAATCACTCCAAAACAAAAAGACGCAAAGGAGGATGTGGCTTTGAAGCCTGTGGAGCAGCTCAAGAAAGCTGAACTGAAGAAGACGCCATCTCCCAAGGTTGATAAACTCAAAGAATCTGAAAGCATTCCCATAGAGAAGATTCCTAGTGTCGATAAACTCAAAAAGGTGCCCAAAAGTGTCTCACCAAAAGAAACACCGGTGGAAGGTGTTACTCTGAAAAAGGTTGCCAAGAAACCTTCACCAGAGGAGACAAAGGCAGCAGGTAAAATACCATTAGTGAAAGAGGTGTCCCCTGGAGCAGTGCGGATGAGGAAAGTGTCTACCCAGCAAGAGGAAGAAGTCTTTGAGGAGGAGTACGAGGCCCCAGAAGGAGGCGAAGAAGGAGAAGATGAGGCCTGGGGATGGGAGCTGGTTCCTGTCGAAGGTTACGAAGGTGAACCAGAGGAGGGCGCTGTGGAAGTGCCAGGGTTTCCCAGGAGAGGTGAGACGGGACCAGAGCTTTCTTTTGTGGGCTGCAAAAACCAATACCCTCCCTTCATGGATATTAATTTTCCTCCATCCAAATATCACATCCTTCCAAGCTACCTTCATATTTTTGCATCGTCTGTCAGTGGATTACCAGTTTTTTCTGTCTCATTTTCAATCATCTTGTGACCATGTTCGCTTCATTTGACTGGTTTTACAAGTTCAAAATAATGCCTATCATCCCTCCCATCTCCATCATTTTGTATTTTGTCTGTTAATTTGTTCATATTTTCTGTTCTTTTTTGTCATCCATGTCATTTCAATTCATGTCATTAGTATCCATCAACATCATTGTCAGTACAAAGAATATGATTTCTCCTTACTACTTTGCATGTCCCCCTTTTGAACTGCTTGACCATCTACACTAGTAATTGCAACTAATTTCATTTGTTTGTGAACAGAGGGACAACCAGCTGGAGGAGAGGCAGGAGCTGTTAGAGGCAGGGGGCTAAGACGTAAGTAAAAAACAGTGGTTTCTTTATTGGTTGATTCTACAACTAAATATATATACCATATGTCCTCGTTGTGTATATTTTTCCATCTGTTTTCAAAATGAAATGTATTACTCATGAAATCATTATATGAGACTTTTTAGTTGGATAAAAAGTGTATTGCTGTGTGTTATAATATGTTTTTATTCTGATAATATAGCAAGGCAGACACCATCCCCTGGTGAAGGCCGGGGCCGTGGTGTGAAACCTGGCGGTAGAGGCCCAACACCTCCAGAGGAACCATTTGCAGGCTTTAAGCTCAAAGCCGTTCCTCTAAAATTCACCAAAAAACTGCAGGACATTGTGCTGCAGGAGGGTGAGTCCATTGGCTCCTCTGCCCTCTTTGAGTGTGAGGTTTCTCCTTCCACTGCTGTCACCTCTTGGATGAAAGACGGCAGCAACCTGCGTGAAAGCCCCAAGCACAAGTTCACCTCTGACGGGAAGGATCGAAAACTGGCCATCATTGACGTGCAGCTCTCCGACACTGGTGAATACACCTGTATCGCAAAGAATGCCGGCAAAGAGGTCCAATGCACAGCCAAACTCATTGTTGAAGGTATTTATTGCTTTAACCAGAAATCTTTGAGTTGGAATGAATTTAATTCAATTATATATATAATTGTGTTTGTCTACTCCTTTACGGGCGGCACGGTGGCTGAGTGGATAGCACTCTCGCCTCTCAGCAAGAAGGTCCTGGGTTCGAATCCCAGTCGGACCAGGGCCTTTCTGAGTGGAGTTTGCATGTTCTCCCCGTGTCTGCGTAGGTTTCCTCCGGGTACTCCGGTTTCCCCTACCACTAAAAATATGTCCAATAGTTCTAGCATGCGCCTCCTGTACTGGCGACCCCGCTCCCATCTCTGTGTGGAGTGAGAGACTAATGCCCAAAAATTAACAATTGTAAACCGCTTTGAGACTCAGATCTGCAGTGAAAAGGCGGTATATAAATAAAGATTACTTACTACTTACTTACTTTACAGAGTTGCCTGTTAAATGGATAAAAGAGCTTGAGCCAGATACTTCTGCACTGAAGGGTCAGCCTATTTACATGACTTGCGAGCTGAACAAAGAGAGAGAAGTGATTTGGAAAAGGGATGGGAAGTTCTTGGCAAAGAGAGAAAACAAGATCCAGATCAACATCATTGGAATGCAGCATGCTGTGACAATCCAGAACTCCACGGAAAGTGATGCTGGGGTTTACACCTGTGAAGTATCAGGACAGGAAGACATTGTAACCTCTACTAATGTCAAAATTATTGGTAAGTTATACCACATTCTGCAGCCTATTTTTGTGTTTCTTCACTTACTATACTGTATCAAACTCTCCTTTCCAGAAATTATTAAAGATTGGATTGTGAAGCCGCTGAGGGACCAGCACGTCAAACCTAAAACAGCTGCCGTATTCAAATGTGAACTGTTCAAGGACACCCCTAACTGGAAGTGGCTCAAGGGAGAGACCGAAATCACTCCTTCTGACAAAATAGAGGTGAAAAAAGATGGGAAGGAGTTGACCCTCACCATCAAGAACTGCCAGCCAGACGATGTTGCAGAATATGCCATGGAGGTGGAAGGACGCATCTACACAGCCAAGCTCACATTAGGAGGTTTGATATCTAAATTTTATTTCTTCAACAATTTGAATTTTATTGTTTAGTCTCATTGTATTTGTAAATATTCCCACTATAACAATCCTCCTTTTTATCAGAGCGTGAAGCTGATATCCTGAAACCCTTAGCTAGCGTTGAGGTGACTGAGAAGGAAGATGCTGCATTTGAAACAGAGATTTCTGAAGATGACGTGCCAGGCGAATGGAAGCTCAAGGGAGAAGTTTTGACCAGATCCCCGGTAAGATTGGATATCTTTTCATGAACCCATATTAACCAAATTCAAGGTATACAAGGTAAAACAAAGTGATTCACAGTCTTTATCACATGAGGCATAAATCATAAACATTAAAATATGGCATTCAAAACACACACTATTGAAAACATAAATGAAAATCTCACAGGGCATTAAAATAAACATTAAGATTATGCAAGGTATTAAATTCATAAATGAACACAGTGCATTAAAAAGAGTAAAGATACAGTCCTTCAGTTGTATGCACAGGCCAACAGAACTGTCTCAAATAATTAATTGATGGAGTTGTCAATGATCATCAGACTTGCGATATCCAAATGGAACGTGGAGTCCGCCGTCTTATTCTGAAGAACTGCCAGATGGACCAGGCCGGTGAAGTGACCTACCAGGCTCTGAATGCTGAGACCAGTGCCATGCTCAATGTTAAAGGTAAGACCCACTTGAGAGATCATGGTTGAGAAAACCCCATTTTGCATATTACAATTAGCAGTACAAATAAAGACATAAGGTCTGTCAAATGAATAAATACTTGAATAGACCTTAAATCTTTATTTTCAAGGGAGAACGTAAATATGCTTGGATGTTGTTCAATTAGATTTTCACAGCCAAGAAGAAAAGAAGACATTTTAAAGAAGAATCTATGTTGGTGTTATTGTCTGTTCTGTGTGACATTGTATTTTTAAAGTTTGTGTCTATGTTTGTCTTGTCTCAAAGAATATTGTAAAGTGGTCAGTCCAGTACAAACACATTGGTGCAACAACACAAATTACATAGAGAATGGTGTTCATTGTTTTAATTCTAGCACAGTAGACTAACAAGGGGTCACAACCTGTCTAGTGACCTCTGAAATAATAAGAGGAGATCAGGCCACTGACACCTGACAAGTGACACAAGCTGATACAAACACACACACACCCACCTCAACAGTACATACTGTGCGTACTTGCTCTGACTGCTAGTTGTTGTCCACATGTGTGTCATGTCTGTTGTGTTGTTGACATATGTGACTCTACCTCCAAACCAGAAATCGAAATGGATTTTGTAGTCCCTCTGAAGGATGTTTCAGTGCCTGAAAAGAAACAGGCAAAGTTTGAGTGCACCATCACGAGAGATGTGTCTAAGGTCATGTGGTATAAAGGGGCTGACATTATTACCTCTGACCAAAAGTTTGACATCATCGATGATGGAAAAAAGCACATGTTGATCATAAACTGCTGTGAATTTGACGATGAGGATGATTATACTATTGAGGTTTTGGGCAAAAAGTCCACTGCTAGACTCTCAGTTGAGGGTAAGTCCATGACCCCAGGAGATAATCAGTCAGTCTTTATTCATTGAGTTTGTTTTTGTTATTTCCTAACTAACTCATATGAATATGCTCTACTAATAACACTATAGGTATCAGGCTCAAGTTTATCTCGCCCCTAAAAGACCAAACGGTGAAAGAAGGAAATACAGCTCGTTTTGAGCTGGAGCTCTCCCACGAGAACATCCCAGTCACATGGTACAAGAACGACATTAAAGTCCATCCAAGCCGAACTGTGGTCACACACGTTGACGGGAAAAAGCATGTGCTTGAGTTAAAAGATGTGACTCTTGATGATACTTGCCAAATTAGGGCTGAGGCCAAAGGAGTTCCATCAATGGCAAATCTGACAGTTATAGGTAAAACTGAGTGTCCCGTTGTGCACCTGTTTTTCCAACTTTCACACAACTCATTTCACGTCCCCACGAGTGCTTTCCTTCACCAAAATTTTTTCTGTCTTGCATGTCATTTTGTTATGTTCACCATCATCATTTCAAAACTTGTTTTCTTGTGTCCCATCTAAATGTTTCTTTGTTACATTGACAATCATCAAAACTCCGGTCCCCTTTTTGTCAAGTCCCAAACCAAATGTTTGTCAAACCAAAATGTTTCCCCACTTCCAGAAGGTGACCCGTACTTCACAGTCAAACTCCAGGACTATACTGCTGTGGAGAAAGACCAGGTGGTTCTGGATTGTGAACTGAACAAAGATGTGGACGTCTTGTGGTACCACAATGAAACTGAACTCAAAGCCTCCAAAGGGATTATGATTAAGGCTGAGGGAAAACGCAGAAGCCTCATTATCAAGAAAGTAGCAGACAAAGATAAGGGGCAATATTTATGTGACTGCGGGACAGACAAGACCACAGCCGTGTTACACATTGAAGGTAAAAATGTCAATCAACATTATCTTTTTCATTCTTTTCATTTTTGCTCACCCTTCACCGCCATCTTTTTGTTATTCTTTTGACTTTTTGACATTTTTGTATTTGACAACGCATTTTTTGTGTGTGTCAAACCTCCCACAATAATAAGAACAAATTACAAGAGCAACTTCTTATTAGACGCTTTTGGAGAGTTCCAACAGATCCTTGTCTTTGTCTTGGTGTCATTAAAATGTAACTGTTTGTTCTTTGTGTGTTTCAATATTTGTCCATTGTCTTGTGTAACTTTTGCCTGTTGTCAAAGTGAGATTGTCTCGTGTAAGATTATTGTCCTCTCTGTTTAAACGTCAGCCCGCCATATTAAGGTGGTCCGCCCACTGTATGGTGTTGAGGTGTTCAATGGAGAAACAGCTCGTTTTGAGGTGGAGCTCAGTGAAGACGACGTGCACGGCCAATGGAAACTGAACGGAGAACCCCTCAGTCCATCTGCTGTATGTCTCAGATCTCTCTTTTTCATTACCCATCTTCATGTTTGACCACATTATTATTCATTTGGGGCAATATAAAAATGTTTTTTTGACTCAACTGCAGGATATTGAAATCGTGGAAGACGGTGCCAAACACACTTTGGTGTTGTACAACTGCAAAGTCCCTTTGACGGGAGAAATTTCATTTTGCGCCGCAAATGCTAAGTGCGCCGCTAATCTCAAAGTGAAGGGTGAGATTTAAATTTAAATGCTTTCAAGCAATCATGGCTTTTTACTGTCAAGTCAGCATTATGTTTTGAAAATGTAATAACTATTTACACAAATGTTTTAGTAAATGTTATTACACTTACTTTTTGGAACTGGCTACTTTCCCAAAGCTCTATTTTCCCTCTTTGGAGCTTATTCCCTTTCTGTGAATCAACAGAGATCCCAGTCTCGTTCATTACTGCGCTGACAGACGTGCATGTCTATGAAAAAGATGAGGCTAGATTTGAACTGGAAATTTCTCGAGAGCCTAAAAGCTTCCGTTGGCTGAAAGGCTCTCAGGAGTTGTCTAACGATGACAAGTATGAACTTTTAACTGAAGGAAAACGACACATCCTCATCATAAAATCAGCCCGATATGATGATGAGGCCAAGTATATGTTTGAAGCTGAAGATAAGAGGACATCTGCAAAACTGTTCATCAAAGGTAAAAGGATCGCTCTTGCTTCAATTGCGAACAATAGTTGCCTACAACCTTTGCTCATTTGTGAACTTCTTCATCACTTCCATCTGCACACAACAACTCAGTTGTGTTGGCTTCACCTTCCCATTACCCAATTTAATGTTTTAAGTTTAAGCTTTTGTTCTAAGCCTTTGTGTTTGAAACTTGTATTTATCAGGTATACGCCTCGAATTTGTCAAACCGATCAAAGATGTTACCGTGAAGGAGCGAGAGACGGCGGAGTTCAGTGTGGAACTGTCCCACGAGAACATCCCCGTGGTGTGGTATAAGAACGGAGCCCGCCTGCATCCCGGCAAAGTGGTGCACATGTCCGAGAATGGCAAGGTGCACACGCTTGCCTTCAAGGAGGTCACTGTGGACGACACTTCCAACATCAAGGTGGAGGCGATGGGAAAGACATCTGAGGCCATGCTCACTGTGCTTGGTGAGTTTTGTGGAATTCAGAGTGTGTTAACTTAGCAAGAAAACAGGGAAATGGACAAAGGCAGGTGTTTAGGATTTTTTCCATTTCGGTGGAGATTGAATCGATCGTAAATAGATTGAGAGGTAATTGGTTTAGGCCTGGAATTAACGATTATTTTCAAACTCAAAAAGGCGAGTAACATTGCATTGCAGTACAATGCATTGTGTTGCGCAAATGTCACCTCACAATATATCTGCACGTTGAAACAACAAAGCAATCCCTATAGTGCTCTTGTTATTTACAAAATCTGTAATTTTCTCTTGTGCTTATGGAATTTGTTTCTCTGAAAAAAGCTGTCTTTAGACTCCTCTGCAGCTCATGGGTGACATCGGCTAAATAAGGCATCGGTGCATGTCCATAAATATAGGCTCGCATAGAGGTTTCTGAATTTCGAGGCCACGGGACAGAGAGCATGCACAAAGCTTGTATTGTAGCCCTTATTGAGAGTTACAAATGAGATAGTATGGACAGTATGGAGAATTTGCTTCCCTTGTTGTAATCCTCTGGTAAAGTTTCTATTTTTGCTTTTGACAGAGGGTGACCTGTACTTCACGGCCAAGCTCCAGAACTACTCCGCTGTAGAGAAAGAGGAGGTGATCTTGATGTGCGAGCTAAGCAAGGCCAGTGGCGAAGTGAAATGGTTCAAAAACGGTAACGAGATCTACCCCTCGAAGAACGTTCTCTTCCAGTCTGACGGCAAGAAGCGCATGTTGGTCATCAAGAAGGCGGCTAAAGGCGACATGGCAAACTACACCTGCGACTGTGGCACCGACAAAACCACTGCTGACCTGAACATCGAAGGTAATACCTGCGATCATCATGGCCCCATCCACAACGACATCATTGGACTGAAGAGTTATGCCCCTTCAATTGAGGTCTCCAGAGGCTCTTCTCTTGCTGGGCACCACCCACTTGTCTGTCCTGTCTGGGTCCTGCTAACAATCCAACTTTATACATTCATATTGAGCATTACATATGTACAGAAAACACTTGAAGGCATCTTAAGAGACATGTTTGTGTCTTATGTAAATGTTTCTAAGATGTCTGTGAAGTATTTAGGTACACGTGATAATACTCTGTGTTCCATTAAAGCATGTGATAGTTTAAAAAATCAGGCAAAAAGTTATTTAGTCTTGTCAGGAATAGAAATATGCATTTATTTTTATTTTTTTATTTTTTTACATTGATTGCTTGAACCAGTTTCTATGCGGCTTTTGTTGCTACAGTTGCCTTGTAGTTAACTGACAAAACTGAGGATGACTACCTTCCTTATACTTCTCGTTATATAACCCAATCATAGTCCTGCTTGAGCCACTGGAATCTAACTGAAATGTGCAGTAAGGTGTTGTCTAACTTTACAAGACATACTGTCTTGTAAAGTTAGCTCATAAACTAATACTAAATATCATAGACAAAGATGTATATAGTTGGATTGTCATCAAGACATATGTTTAGCTCATGTGCGAATTGTAAGCCACCCTACAATGGAGTGGCGGCTATTGGCCAAATTGTCACGTCCGTGTCCCTACTGTTTGTCCTTGTTGTGTATACTGAAAATTGTGAAAATCAGAATTTTTTTTCTGATTATAGCTGTGAACTCGATTTGTTGTTACTATGATGTGCCTCGTCACCTTTGGCTAGTGTGTGTGTTATTAACATGTGATTGCACGTCCGCAGAGCGTGACATCAAGGTGCTGAGGGCCCTCTACAGTGTGGAGGTCATCGAGACAGAGACAGCCAAGTTTGAGACCGAGATCTCTGCTGATGATCTGCACGCCACATGGAAGCTGAAGGGAGATACACTCATGCCATCTCCTGTAAGACTTAAAAAAAACTTTGTTGCTAAATGAAATAGAAAGCATTATAGGGGACATAGCATAAAAATAAACTTTTCTCAGCTTTTGGCCATGTTATCATGTTCTTCAGGGCAATTTCTTTTGAGATAGTCTACCAATTAATTCTGTCACGTTTCTCAAGGGAAATCTGACTTGTTTTCTCTCAATCAGGAGGCCAACAACAAAATACATGTTTCAGAAGATTTTTTTTCCGTTTATTTAGAACACAACCAACAATGTAACAGCAAGATGTTCCTCTAACAATCTTATAAAATGTGGTTTTACACTATGCATATTATTAGAATGTGTTCTGTCAAACGTTACTTTACCATATCACCCGAAGTTTCCAAAAGACTTAACACATCAAATGAATATAGTATGTATAATCTTGTTAATTAGCATTTTTACATTATGGCCCATTTATAGATATCACATATTAACCTATTGGATCCATTATCAACACAATAGACCAGCTGTAAGCTAGCGGCTGGTGAGTTAGTTACAGGAAGCGGCCATTGGCATTACATCAGTAAAATTATGTACTGTATGTGCAAGACCTGATCGACGGGAATACCATCACAGTAAAACCCTAGCAACATGAGGGTAGATAGATTCTCCGATTATTTAGAACATAATCGAGTTATGACCCTTATAAGAGTTTATGCATCTCAAAGTGGAGTAGTAAGACCTAAGGTTGGCCAAAGACCAAAGGTTGGCCAAAGGTTGATTGGTGGATGTTGTGTTTTTGATTTATTAGGATGTTGATATCAAAGAGGAGGGCGCTCACCACATTCTGATTCTCTTCAACTGCCGGAAAGACATGGCTGGAAGTGTGGACTTCTCGGCAGGGAATGCCAAGTCAACAGCTCAGCTCAGGGTCAAAGGTGAAAGAACTTGCTTGCTTGTAATGTTTACTTAGACGGTTATAATTTGTTGTCCCAAATTTGAATTTATAGTTGCCCCTAAAAGCTTACACACCCAGGCAGACATTTTTGGCCATATTTTGGAGATTATGGATGATATAGCAAAATAAGAAAATTCACTCATTGTTAGTGGTTGTGTGAAGCCATGTATTGCCATTTATGTGTTTTTTTATGATGACAACAGAAACTCCTCTTCTTATCCTGATTAGAAGTTTCCCCCCAGTTCTTTAAAGGGTTATTCCCCTTTTAAGATCTATAACAGATCAATGACAGCTTGGAATCTTTTGTGGTAGTTGTGGGAGAGATTCTTCTTTCCTCTGATGGTAAAGCTGCACTTACTTCTTGCCCAAAAGCCTTCTGTTCTTGCAAATTCCCGGGCTGTCTTGTATGAACCTCAGAATGGCTTGGTTATGTTATCATTTGTTTCCAGTATAGTTAGTTATATAAGTTAAACTATTAATTCTAAACTTGAGAAAACCTAATTCATAATCTCTAAAATATCTTTAAGCATTTAATCTCTAGCTGGGTGTGTAAACTGCACAATTGTAAGACATTAGTTAAGATCGCAAACACGTAACTTATGTCACCGTTTGGTAACAGGGAAACTTAATACTTATGGCTTGCTTGGTGTCTTACTATGTGTGTCTTAGTGTCTTATCTGTTTTCTATACTGTAGATTCTGGGTGCTTGGCCACAGATTAAAAAAGATTATGTGCAGTGTAGATAATAAGTGACAGCTCAGTGATTAAACAAACATTTATCATGTGGTCCACCTGTCAGCAGCCCCTCTTTAACTGCCTTTAAAGAGGCATTAATTGTGGCATGTGAAGCAGTCTGTTGTAAATACTTGATACCACTTGTTAATCCAGTCTGACAACTAAAACTATGTCAACATGACAGTGTTATAACAGCCTGGCAAGTATTGTGATGTCACTAGTACCAACTTACATTGGGTAACTTCACATTTTTCTATTCCAAGAAAATTGTAGGCCTTTGATTGACAGTAACAGACTGGTATAGCCCTGGCTGTGGTGGGCTCCCAGCCAATCACACTCCTTGGTTATTTTAGAAGGCGCATGCCTTTTCGAGAACAGGTTTCCAGTGATTGGCAACAGAGCAGGACTTGACCCCTGCGTTTACTGGTTTGTGCCAGCCCCATACATATTCCAATAGAGCGTATGCTAATGAGATTTGCCGCCTAGGGCCGAGTCCCACTGTGGCTGTCTTTAGTTGGCCTGAGGGCTTCAGCGGCCTGCCTTCAGCTCAACCAAACCATGTGGATTATCCATTAAGGATTAGCCCTGAGGAGCTGTTTGGGATCTATTGAATTGTTTTGGGTGAGGAGCTAATCATGTCTTCTCCCCAATCCAAAGCACGGGTGATCGGCCTGAAGCGGCCACTGAATGATGTGGCTGTCATCGCCGGGGAGACTGCTACCTTTGAGTGTGAGCTGTCTTACGAAGGCATCGCTGTCGAGTGGTTCCTTGGGGGTACTAAACTGGAACCAAGCGACAGAGTAAGTCTACATTCATGCACTTCCAACATCACTTCACTTCCAACATCCACCACTAGAGACCATTACCCCTCATCAATGCTTTACGTTGTTTTTTTGTCCTCTTTTGTTTTTTCATCACCATAGAACAGCATGTTCAGCTTTGTCTTCATATAAGGGCCTGCAGTAAGCCCAGATGCCAGCAGAGCATTCGATCCTAGTTTTGAGAAAACGCTGGAGGGAGAATTTTCTGCCCTGCTAGCGTTTCCTTCAGGTTATTTTTAACAGCAGCAGACGGTTGAAGCACGGGGCAGGTGGCAACAACAGCTATTTCACGGCTTCACTTTTAAAATATAAGATTTTGTTGTGGTGGTGTACAGAAAAAAACGATATTATAGAATCTTCTCAATAAATAGCGGCCCTCTGAGATCTTGTGGTTTCCTTGGTGCCTTGTTTTGGTCTTTGCTACATGTCATGGGCTGATCTGTAAAAGAAGCAATCTGACCAAGTTTTTTAATGTGCTAAAATGCTAAGATAAGTTACATATATTACAAACATATTTTACTGAGAGAGATCTGTGAAAGTTACTGCCTAACAAGGGGTTAAATGTTACTGCTAAACCAGGGCTTAAATGTTACTGCTAAACAAGGGGCTGAATGTAGATAAAAGCAAATTAAAGTGATGGCTTGTAGACTGAATCTGAGCTGGTTTGGAGACTCCTACAAACTCCAATGTTTGTGTGAGACAGCAATTTTTGAAGACCATATAACATGTAAGTAATTCAAGACTTGTAGATGGTAGAAGATTTCTTAGGGAAACGTTTCTTAATTTCCTTAATAATAATGTTTATAATAACAGTAGAAAAAAGATAACGTATTCATACTAAATTGAAGTTTCTATTTTTTTCAGTGCTTTTCATATGAACAAATGGCATACTGTATAGACGTTTCAATAGTGGTTTATATGTTTGAAAATGATCTTGTCCGATTTGATAAGCTCTAAGTTTGATTGAGGCTCAGTGTTGTAACATACAGTGAACGGATATGTTTAAAAGCAGCAAGGTGTCAGGAGGTCACATGGTTTAAATCTGTTGAAGGAGAAAGCAGCTGCCAGGTTTCATTTTAGCTGTCAGGACTGGGCCCGCAGTGCTCCCTGTAATGTAACAGTTATTCAATGATCTTGTGAAAGTTTGAAAGATTAGAATACATGTTATGGTGGTGCTGCTGAAAAGCTTATTCTTGTTGAGCATTCCAATGTGGTTTTAAAATGTAAATGGCCAATGAAATGAATCTTGAATCTATAATCCTGTAGATTTTTTGATATGTTGTACCCCAAACCTATCAATTCACCAACAAACTATGAAATGAACTAGTAATAGTAATGTATTTGTTAAAAAGTAGTTCATTATTTTTATGTCCATCCATCCATCCATTCATTTTCTTCCCCTTAATCCATTTCTGGGTCTGGGGATGACAGTCAGAGCTGCACCCAGTTCACATAGCACCAGCCCCTCACTGATCCTCCTGCAGGTGGTGAGTCCACAAGAGCTGAGATCTTTCAGCGGGGGCTTCACGCTTTATGTCAGTGGTGGTAAATGTAAAGTGGGAGTGTATAAATGGTTAAAGTATTAAAGAGTAATTTAAAATCAATTCAATATTATTTTGTCTCGGTGGACTGTGTGTGTTTGAAAGTAACAAGTATAAGTTACCAGACTTCCTTATCCACACAAAGTATTGTAAAAAAAAAAAAAAAAAAAAAAAACCTAGTCACTGTCCACCTTGACGTTATTCCTGGTCGAACCTCTAGCTACTAATATGACATGACTGCATAGACATGCCATTCAGTTGAATAGGTGATTTTATGAGACTCATAAATGTTAATGCGAGGGACAAAGGGTCACATAACACTCTCTTTCTAAACTCAACAGGTTTGATGAGCTCTCCTAAAAGTTATGTTCCATTTTATTGAACAACATCAACTTCAATAACACTGTGCTCCAATAACAGGTGGTGCTGAAGTCAGACGGTAACATCCACAGCTTGACTCTACGCAACGTTCAGCTCAATGAAGCCGGTCTGGTTAAACTCGTGGCTAAAGATTTCACAACAGAGGGCAATCTCACTGTCAAAGGTAAGGGTTAGGATATTCAGCATTCAATTATAACTCATTTTAACTTTTAAAGCATCTTGTGAGTCAATCTCTGTGGGGAACTCAATAAATTACAATAAGTCTTTTTGACATGTCAGGCGGAGAGCTGATTTGCTGAATGAGGGTTGTTCTCTCTTTTTCACTTTTTTGACTGATCCAAAGATTTGAATGAGGCTAAAAATACATGCAAAACTAGCAATCTTACCAATCTGTTTTGAAAGCTAGAAATTAGAGAAATTGATTTGTAACCACTCAAAGATACTTTTTGTAGGAATTAGTGTTCTGGTCTTTTTGGGAGAATACCTCAATTTTTATTTTTTTATTCTATTTATACTTTCGGCACATGATCCATAGCTAATAAGACAAATAAAGTGTGATAAAAGAACAGTGTAAAGAACTCAAATAATATTTACCTGGATTTTCACAAATTTTTAAGAATGAATCCACTCATATACAAAAGAGCGCTCCAGTAACTCCAAAGTTAGAGAGTGACCAGAAACTGTAGTATATAACATTAGGTACACCCATGATTCTATGCATAAATGTATAGTAACTTTGAGTTGGGGCAGCATTACAGGAGCCCACCTTGTATTCAGCAAAAATGTGACTACCGTGTGTCAATCTCTTTCCAGTTCTCAATCTGGGAATCACTGGTTTTAGCATAAATAGGCTTGGGACTTTGCCCATTATTGTCAGATCAAATATTTAGCCCATTTCAGAACAGTGTGCATGTGTGGATATGGCTTAAAACTATTAATTGTATTTTTAGAGCCACCAGTGGAGTTCACAAAGCCACTGGAAGACAAGACAGTAGAAGAAGAAGCCACAGCTACGCTTGAGTGTGAAGTGTCCAGAGAAAACGCAGAGGTAACATGGTTCAGAGATACACAAGAAATCCGCAAGACCAAGAAGTACGAGATTGTAGTGGACGGCCGCAAGCGAACACTGCTCATTCACGACTGCACTTTGGACGACTCCAGAACGTACACCTGTGATGCCAAGGATTTCAAAACCTCCTGCTTCCTTAATGTTGAACGTGAGTCTATTCAAAAGAACAAAAACATGTGTATTACAGTCTATTATCCTACACACCATTCAAATAAATCAGCCTCAAATATGTCAAAAATAGTTTATATAGTGAATGTTTGGTATTTGTACCTCAGTCAAGAGGAATGCAGCTCAAAATCGACTTGAATTACTTTCATGAATCCAAATAAAATGCATTGTCAATAAGCTCTTTTTATGAGTATAATAAGCTGCATGTTAAGATTTGATGTCAAAACAAACCAGTATAAAAACTATAGTTTAATTATTTAGGTAATCTTTAATAGATGTCAAGATCTTACATTGTTATTATGTATGTTATCATGTTAAATTACACTCTTATTTTTATTCCCAGCTCCACATGTTGAGTTCTCTACGCCGCTCCATGATGTTGAGGTCAAAGAGAAAGAAACTGCAAGGTTTGAATGCGAAGTGTCCAGAGAAGATGTCAAAGTAAGACCACCGATAAAAGTCACATTTCGTTACTGTGCCGTTTTCTGAAAAGCTTGATCATTGTCTGACGACAGGTTCGCTGGTTCAAAGATGGAAGTGAAATCAGAAAGGGAAAGAAGTATGAAATTATTGCACAGGGTCGCAAACACATTCTGGTCATCAATAAGTCTGCGTTTGATGATGAGGCTGAGTACGAATGCGACGCCAAGACCTCCAAGTCCTCCGGCATGCTCACTGTCGTCGGTAAGAACGCCACTCTGAAAATAACATTTGTACAAAACAGTAGTAACAACGTAGTCAGTAAATCAAATTTTTAAGATGTGTCTTGTCACTATTTTAGATATTATCCACTCCTGCAGTGCTGCAAAGAGATAAAAGTAACACATTTAAATGCACAGGCCTGCCAGCTTTATGTGTATGCAAAAAATACAACAAATAAAACATTAAGGTGTATGCAATAAAAGTAGTTCAAATAAATAAAACTATTTAACATCAAGTATATATGCATGAATACATTTTAAAATAAAACAATATAATGAATAAAACACAAAGGACCTCACAACTCATGTTGTGTTAAAACTCAAAGAGTAAAAGTGCGTCTTCTGGCAGGATACAAAACATTCCAACAAAATTAGGTAAAATTATTGGCGTTTTTTGTGTAACAAAAAGACCCTCAAAGCTCTGAAATTGTATTTGTTTTGGAAAAGTTTGGAAATCTATTTTGAGTTAAGGTCATATATACATTTTTTTTTTTTTTATCCTGAAAATAGTGTGTAGAAAACCCTGCATTATTACTGTGAGTGAGCACCATATAATTCACCTGTAGTGTATGTATAAGGTGGTATAATCCAAGCAAAGCAATAGCTGCTTGATAGAGACAAGAAAGTGGCAAATTCTCCACTACAAAGTTATACCACTCCATCTATCCATCTTCTTCCCCTTGATCCATTTCTGGGTTGGCAGGGTGACAGTCAGAGCTGAACTCAGTACACTCAGCACCAGTCCCTCACTGATCCTCCTGCAGGTGGTGAGTCCACAGGAGCTGAGATCTTTCAGTGGGGGCTTCAGGCAAAGTGGGGTTAAGTGTCTTGCCCAAGGACACAACGACAGCAGACATCAGTGGGAGTCGTGAAATAGGTCTTATGGTGGGCTTGAACCCACGACCCTTCAGGTCCAACTGGGCCACTGTCGCCCCCAGTATCCATCCATCCATCCATTTTCTACCCTTTAATCCATTTCTGGGTCAGGGGGGTGGCAGTCAGAGATGCCACCCAAGTCTCATAGCACCAGCCCCCAGTATAGTTATACTAATTATACCACTAAAAACAAAAAAATATTTACAAGTGGAAAGTATGTTGCAAGATTTACAAGAACCTTGGTACTATCACTCAAATCAACGTTATTGCATCTGCAGAGGAGGAGGCACGGTTTTCAAAGAACCTGGCCAATGTGGAGGGCACAGAGACGGACAGTGTGAAGTTGATCTGCGAGGTGTCCAAGCCCAGCGCCGACGTGACATGGTATAAAGGGGACACAGAGCTGCCTGAGGGCGGCCGCTACGAGCACATTGTGGACGGAAAGAGACGCATCCTGCTCATCCAGGACCTCAAGATAGACGACGCAGGGGAATACAACTGCAGGCTGAGCTCCGCCATCAAGACCTCTGGCAACCTCAAGATTAATGGTACGGTTAACACAATTGACTTGCAGAATTCTATGGTAAATTTTTTGCAGATAATTTTTATTCTACTGCATATGTAACAGTTCTAAACAATAACAATTTATTTAGGGGTGTGGTTTTCAAACACAGAACATTTGTTGACCTAATCTTTAAATAAACCAATACTGCCCCGTTTCCAGCAAGTGAAAATGTAATCTGCTTTTGTTTCAAAACATAAAACTTAATATAAAACAAAAAGCACAGTGCAAATGTGTAAAAAGAAGTGCAACAAAAAGGCGTGTGGCAGGAATAAATATGGGCACAATCTAAATGTAAACAGTGTAATCTAAGATTGGGTCAAAATGTTCTGTTTTATATTATTCTTCTCTAGTCGTCCGTGGGGGATAAAAGCATGTTCCTTTGCTTTCTCATTTGGATCAGCATGTTGTAAGGTGTAGTGGTTCTTTTGGCACCCCCTCCGCTGTTTCGGGTTGTCAGGATAGCTTATATTGTTTACCGTTGGCCTCTTGAAAGTCACTCTGTATGTGTTAAATAGGCCAAAATAGCAGCACTCATTTTTCAGGTTTGAACATGTTTGTCACTCGTGCTAGTGAAAGTAATGCTCAATTCAAGCAACTAGATTTCCCATTGAAACGAATGAGTAGATCTTTCTGTGAAATTTACTTTAAAAGTGGAAATGAAAAGAATGGCACGTTTACTTATACAGTAGTTAATTTTGTCACCATAATACAGTATGCAATACCGTGTCTTGCATACATGTGTCTGTGTCTGTGTGAATAAGTGGTGCTGTGATGCAAAGGGAAAAAATCATTTACCGTTTGAATAACTGCTTCTGACACTAAACCAGAGAAACATATCTGAAATCCTAAGTGCATGTTGTTTTGTCGCTTCAGAGCTGGCGGCAGAGTTCATCTCCAGGCCACAGAACCAGGAGGTGGTGGAGGGCCAGAAGGCTGAGTTCACTTGCTCCGTTTCCAAGGACACCTTTGTGGTCATATGGAAGAAAGGTGACAAGGAGCTTGAAGCTGGCGACAAATACCAGATGGTCTGCGACGGAAAGAGACGAGCACTGGTCATCAAGAACGCAGAGCTGAAAGACGAAGGCTCATACGTCGTGATGATCGGAACAACCAGAGCCAGTGTAGACCTCACTGTGCTCGGTAAGTTTTTTCCTGCGACTCCCATTCTGCCTTAGGTGCAGACTAAAGGAGACCAGCCAGTAACATACCGTACTTTCAGGACTATTATCGCACCTATATATCTATATATATATATATATATATATATATATATATATATATATATATATATATATATATATATATATATATATATATATATATATATATATATAGCCTCACAAGCAACATTTTAAAGAAAGTCATTTTTTTCACAGTTGAATATTAGCCACCTGTTTTCCAGTTGTAATGCAGATAGATGACTATTTTCACTGGTTACAAAATGATTCAATGCCTGCACTCAGTCACCAGTCTATTTTGACAAAAAACAAGACTTAGTGTCTATATAATACGTACATAACCTCTTCTCTGACAGCAGCAGCCCTATTTTACCACAATAGAAATACACATATTAGCCACATCGTTTGAAACAAAGATTTTTTACACTGTGTTTTTTCAAGTTTTGTATCAAAATTCAAGAAAAGAAAGCAATTTAAAGTAATTAGCTCTTTAAGTGACTTGAGCATAGGTTATCACTACCCTTTATTTGATCAGATTGATCTAATAAGAGGTTTCATATATAAATACCCTCATCGTTTTCATATATGAAAATGGACCACTAAATGAATTTGTCTTTATAATCCTAACCCATTACTCACCCCAATTTGTCCCCGACAGAGAAACTGAAGGTGATCACTCCCCTGAAGGACACTGAGATTCTTGAGGGCAAGGAGATTGTCCTGAACTGCGAGGTGAACTCTGAGGGCGCGAAGGCCAAATGGCTTAGGAACGACGAGACGCTGTTTGAAAGCAGCAAGCATGTGATGATGCAACGCGACAATGTCTTCTCCCTGAGGATCAAGGAAGCCCAAAAGGGAGATGATGGCAACTACAGCATCAACCTGACCAACCAGAGAGGCGAGCAGGCCCAGAGTGCCTGCAAACTCACTGTCAAAGGTCAGTATTACGTGTTTGACCATGAGCGGAATTGTTGTTTGATACATTTCTGAAGGTGTAACTGAATTGACGATGTGTGTAATGTAATGTAGGCATAATTTTAGACTGGAGACACGCAGAGGCTATTTTCTGTGTTTCTCACAGTGCCAGAATACATGACCAGAATTCCATCCTATTCAGAGCTGCGTGTAATATAAATGTGCTTTGTTTTTTTGCAAAACTTAAGTGTAAATTGGGGGTCTAACGTGGCCCAACACAGCTCATCCACTTTTTATTGGATGCTATAGATGATCACTAAAGCCAACTCGGCTTTAGTGATAATATATAGCATCCTACGGAACAAACTATGAATAGGAAATGACAATGACATGTGTTTGTTCTGATCACTTCAGAGGAGAGCATGAGGATTGTGGCCCCTCTGGAGGACATCGACACCCAGGAGAAGAAAACCGTCAGCTTCTCTTGCAAAGTAAACCGGCTCAACGCCACGATCAAATGGATGAAGGGCGGCGAGGAGATAGTCTTTAGCAAACGCCTGATGTACAGAGTCGATAAGGACAAGCACACCCTGACCATCAAAGACTGCCTTCTCTCCGATGAAGGCGAGTACACGGCCGTGGCTGGAGAAAGCAAGTCCACAGCCGAGCTCATCATCAGCGAGGCCCCCACAGACTTCTCAGTGCAGCTCAAGGACCAGACCATCACAGAGTTTGACGACGCCGAGTTCGTCTGCAAACTGACCAAAGAAAAGGCAGACGTCAAGTGGTACAGGAACGGACGCGAGATCAGAGAAGGTCCCAGGTGAGCCTGTCATTACCTGATATAACCTGTCATAACAGACCCATTTAAAGCAGGGGTACCTAACTATGTGATGAAATCCATGTAATTAGTAATCGCTTTAAAACAGCTTGTTTCTATCTTGACTTCACACTTCCACAAAATGTTTGGACAACTTAAGATCAGCTTTTTAAGACAGAAAAGTATTAAAAAAAATATGTATAATATTAATTTTGAAATATCATAATTTCATTGTTTCAACAGATATCAATTTGAGAAAGAGGGAAAAATGTGCACCCTTCGCATCAAGGAGTGCCGTCCTGATGATGAGTGTGAATATGCCTGTGGCGTGGACGACAAGCGATCCCGGGCTAGGCTGTTTGTAGAAGGTATAGTCCACTTAAGGACGATATTCACACATTTTGTCATGGACATAATCTGATAATACAATATGTCCTTGGCAGAAACCGCGGTGGAGATTGTCAGACCACCCCAAGACATTTTTGAGCCCCCGGGTTCAGATGTTGTATTCGAGTTGGAGCTGAACAAAGATAGAGTCGAGGTGAAATGGCTGAGGAACAACATGACTGTGGTGCAGGGCGACAAGTACCAGATGATGAGTGAGGGCAAAGTCCACAGGCTGCAGGTGTGCGAGATCCGGCCCCGCGACCAGGGCGAATACAGGGTGATGGTCAAAGACAAGGACGCCAAGGCCAAGCTGGAACTGGCGGGTGAGATATGATCACATCAAGCACTGAGTACACAATGTTCAACTTGACCACACACAGGTCAATAATAAGATAATAAGATCATTTTTGTTTACTACATACTTAACTAATAAAAATGAAACAAAAACAAAAAATCATGTTACAACAATGTTAGACCGGCCTTAGCCATCCGTACACTCCGCTCAATCATCATTTCACTGCATGTAACGTCTGGGTCTGGTCCCTGGGTTAGCGATTACAATCGGTTGAATTTCGACCAACCTACCAGAGAGCGCGGAAGGCAGGTGTTGTAGTTAGTTGTGGGTGACGTCAAGAGTTTGCGTCGAACGGGAAGGTCGTAGTTTGGCAATGGCGATAGTAAAGTAATCCGGTCTTGTTCTATCAAGAAATTGAGCAAATGTAATCGCTAGAATAATTTGTGGCGCTACTCCCCACGGGCTCCGTTAGCGGCAAAGGAGATGGCTAGGCTAAATGCTAAATGCTAACGACTCACTCGGGCGCATTACATACGTCACAGTAAACTCAGATCCAATTGTTTCAATCTGCAAAAGGAGGTGACCCCTCCCACCTGTAAACGGAGCTCAATGGCGCACCTCCAGACCTTAGTACAAAATGTAATTTGTACTATGGTGTGGTACGACCAGGCTACAACAATGTTCCTTCATCAAAAAAAGACCAGCTGTTTTTACATACATCCACATTAATATCTAGCTGCTCCTTCTGTTTAAAATTTAAAATCTCCTGTAATAGCATCATTGATCATTGCATCACTATGACATCTGCTCAGAGCAGCTTTTGTCTTTTAAAACAATACAGACTCAACTCCTCGCTCATGTGGTAGCAGAGGGAGTTGCAGGCGGATAGTATTGTTTAAACCTGATACTTCTTTCACCATATATTTTTGTCTTATTTTACATTCTAAAACATTACATTACAAAATGATTAAATACATAGATAACAATACAATAATAGTCTCATAATTGTAATGGTCGAAATTAATGGGTACCATTTATATCAACTGAAACAGACATTTTCTTAGCGCCAAATTCTCCAATGCAAGAAAATGCTATACTAAGCTCATGCTAACAAGGACAATATCTTTATTTAATATAAGATTTACATAAACCCTATTATCAATAAGCCAAAGTGTTATTGTCATTGCTATTGAACAGAATCTTTCTTTTTTCATTATAACTTGTAACATGAAAATATATGGACAATTACAATACTATGTTGAGGTCCGCATAGAGAGCTCTTTCAAAGCCGTTCGTTTGTGTTTCAGCTGTTCCTCAGATAAAGACCACAGACCAGAGCTATGTGACAGACGCCGGGAAACCCATCGTCATGGCGGTCCCCTACAGCGCCTACCCTCAGGCCCAGGCCGAATGGCTCTACAACAACCTGAGCTTGGCCAAAGACAACATTTTCACTTCCTCCGACCGGACCGAGTACCGCCTCAAGGACCCTAAGAAGTCCGACCAAGGACGCTACATGATCACCATCAAGAACAAACATGGAGCAGGAGAGGCCTTCATCAACTTGGATGTCATTGGTGAGGAGATTGTGTCACCAAAGACCATGAATGTATGACTGTCAAGTTTGCAACCGTAAAAATAATGATTCTATTTTTAATTTTTACTGAAAGTTTACACAGAAGTTTCAAACACCTGTGAAGTGAAAGCAAAATGACTCATGATTCTGTAATTTTTCCAAAAATAGATAACCGAAAAGTTGGGCCTACACAAGTATTTATACAGCTTGAGTTCATACTTTGTGCAACCCCCTTTATCTGAAATACCAGTCTATTCATTATTTCATGACATGCATTGTAGTCTGGAGCCCAGTGATAATGTTGATCTCTTTGATTTTCGTAAACACCTACATCCTACTGTCTTCTCTGGATAGACGTTCCTGGACCAGTGAAGAACCTGCAGGTCATTGACACCGCCGATGGTGAAGTGAGTCTGGCCTGGGAAGAGCCTGAGAGCGACGGAGGAAGCAAAGTCACCTCCTACATTGTGGAGAGACGAGACGTGAAGCGCAAGACCTGGACCCTGGCCACGGACCACGCCGAGAGCCCTGAGTACACTGTGACCGGCCTCCAGAAGGACTCCCTGTACCTGTTCAGAGTCTGCGCCAGGAACCGTGTTGGCAGCGGCCCCCTGGTTGAGACTGACAAAGCTGTCCAGCCCAAGAACAAGTTTGGCAAGTAGTGGATGTTGTTGTTATAGTGTTTGTTTTACAAAAAAGGAGGAAGAGCACGTTTTTAGAACACTTTTTTATTACTTTTACCATAAACCAGATGGTCAAAAATAAACTACACAATATATTTTAACTGTCAAGTTTTTGTAGTTTTAAAATTATTATAAGCAGGATTTAGAAAAAAAACATGACCAAAACTAAAACTAAAACATGTCTTCTTACTTTGTGAAAAGCATCTGCAGGTTAAGTAAATGGAATGTTTGAAAAGAGTTGTGTTTTTGTCAATGCAAATCACAACAACACGATAGAAGTCATTTTTTTGCTCTCAAAGCTAAATACTATTACTATTAAATACTATTCTATTTCAAACTTGGTTTACTCAAGGTGAAGTTATTTACCATTGCTTAATATTATTTTTTCAGACGTTCCGGAGGCTCCTCTGAACGTCATCATTGGAAACGTTTCAAAGTTCGGCTGCACTGTCGGCTGGGAAGCCCCTGTGTCCGACGGTGGCTCTCCAATCACCCAGTACATCATTGAGCTGAGGGACAGGACCTCAGTGAAGTGGTCTCCTGTCCAGATCACCAAGGCCGATGAACTCAGCGCCATCATCAACGACGTCATTGAAAACAAGGAGTACATCTTCAGAGTCAAGGCCCAGAACAAGGCTGGTGTCGGGAAGCCCAGCGCTGCCTCCCAGCCTGTCACCATCATGGATCCCATCGGTATGATCACTTTTGTCATTCTGGTTTACAGCTGCTAATAATACTAATAATGATAATACATTTTATTTTTATGCGCCTCTCTAGATATCCCTTTAGTAAGGATTACTTTTATCATGTCACTCTTTTTAGAATTTTTTCTCCGATTTAATTTTTCAAATAAGTTATGTTTGTGTTGAATCACCAAAACTGGACCAAAGGAAGGAATGACTGTTTTTGTCAACTGATTTTTGAACTAGTACTAGTTGGGTTGTGTTTTAATTACAAGAATACATCCAGTTTAAAGTTATTTTCTTGAGAAGATTATCTTTCATGTATAACATGCAATGGTCGCCAATTGTTATTATTTTGGAGGCCATTCAAACGTTTAACACCCCTGGTTTAACATGAGGGTTAGTTACAAGAGTTTTGTAGTTTTAGGAGAATTGGAATTAGAGGAATTATTAGAAAGAGTTTAGAATGTTTACATCTCAATTGGCCGATGATGGTGAAAAGAAGTTTGAGTCATTGAGAAGTCATGGAAAGCTTGAGCTGACACATCCTGATCATGTCAAATTTTCTGCACTATTTAACTTAATCTATCTTCTTGCAGAGCGGCCAAGCCCTCCACAAAATCTGACTCCTCACGACCAGAACAAGAGCTCTGTGCTGCTGACCTGGGACACTCCCCTGAGGACCGGCGGCAGCATGATCACTGGATACATCATCGAGCGCTGTGAAGACGGCACTGGGAAATGGATGCGCTGCAACGCCCGCCTCTGCCCCGATCTCTTTTACAAGGTGAAATACACTTTATTCACTTTATTATCAAGGGTGTGCTGTTCCCTTGTTATCAAAGGAGCTAGTGAAATGCACGTGCAGATATACAGCCCCCTTGAACCTTTCAACATTTCGCCACATTTCAGGCTTCAAACATAAAGATATAAAAATTTAATTTTTTTGTCAAGAATCAACAACAAGTGGGACAGAATCGTGAAGTGGAACGAAATTTATTGGATGATTCAAAAAAATTTAACAAATAAAAAACTGAAAAGTGGGGCGTGCAATATTATTCGGCCCCCTTGCGCTAATACTTTGTAGCGCCACCTTTTGCTGAAATCACAGCTGCAAGTCGCTTGGGGTATGTCTCTATCAGTTTTGCACATCGAGAGACTGGAATTCTTTCCCATTCTTCCTTGCAAAACAGCTCGAGCTCAGTGAGGTTGGATGGAGAGCTTTTGTGAACAGCAGTCTTCAGCTCTTTCCACAGATTCTCGATTGGATTCAGGTCTGGACTTTGACTTGGCCATTCTAACACCTGGATACGTCTATTTGTGAACCATTCCATTGTTGATTTGGCTTTATGTTTTGGATCATTGTCCTGTTGGAAGACAAATCTCCGTCCCAGTCTCAGGTCTTTTGCAGACTCCAACAGGTTTTCTTCCAGAATGGTCCTGTATTTGGCTCCATCCATCTTCCCATCAATTTTAGCCATCTTCCCTGTCCCTGCTGAAGAAAAGCAGGCCCAAAACAAGATGCTGCCACCACCATGTTTGACAGTGGGGATGGTGTGTTCAGGGTGATGAGCTGTGTTGCTTTTACGCCAAACATATCGTTTTGCATTGTGGCCAAAAAGTTCGATTTTGGTTTCATCTGACCGGAGCACCTTCTTCCACATGTTTGGTGTATCTCCCAGGTGGCTTGTGGCAAACTTTAAACGAGACTTTTTATGGATATCTTTGAGAAATGGCTTTCTTCTTGCCATTCTTCCATAAAGGCCAGATTTGTGCAGTGCACGACTGATTGTTGTCCTATGGACAGACTCTCCCACCTCAGCTGTAGTTATCTGCTGTTCATCCAGAGTGATCATGGGCCTCTTGGCTGCATCTCTGATCAGTCTTCTCCTTGTTTGAGATGAAAGTTTGGAGGGACGGCCGGGTCTTGGTAGATTTGCAGTGGTCTGATACTCCTTCCATTTCAATATAAGTGCTCCTTGAGATGTTTAAAGCTTGGGAAATCTTTTTGTATCCAAATCCGGCTTTAAACTTCTCCACAACAGTATCTCGGACCTGCCTGGTGTGTTCCTTTGTCTTCATGGTTCTCTCTGCCCTTTAAACAGAACCCTGAGACTTTCAAAGAGCAGGTGCATTTATACGGAGACTTGATTACACACAGGTGCATTCTATTTATCATCATCAGTCATTTAGGACAACATTGGATCATTCAAAGATCCTGACTGAACTTCTGGAGTGAGTTTGCTGCACTGAAAGTAAAGGGGCCGAATAATATTGCACGCCCCATTTTTCAGTTTTTTATTTGTTAAAAAAGTTTAACAAATTATCCAATAAATTTTGTTCCACTTCACGATTGTGTCCCACTTGTTGTTGATTCATGACAAAAAATTAAAATTTTATATCTTTAATGTTTGAAGCTTGAAATGTGGCGACATTTTGAAAGGTTCAAGGGGGCCGAATATTTTCGCAAGGTACTGTAAATAAACCATAAATAAATCTTCTGGATTCCGATTCCGATTTGGATTAAAATTCAGACTACTTTATTTATCCCAATTCAATTGCCCCAGGCTGGACCCCAAGAGCCTTTTCTCTGGACCATTTTTTTTTAAAGCATATGATTTTCATCCAAAATAGCAATTTTTCATCCAAAAACATTTTGCGGGCTCAAAAGCACATACATAAAGACAGGAAGACCACTGTAACCATGACAATGGTTAGCATGAATGGCAACTGTAATGGTAATAGTTGTCGAAGGGATGGTTTCCATGGCAGCACTCACTTTAGCAACCACTGCTATGTCAATCACTATGGCAACTGTCAACCAAACCTGTTTTTTTGGAAGCTTATTTCCAGTTGCCATTTTGATAGTGGCTATAGTTGTTTCCCTAGTTATAGCAATAGCAACAGTCACCATGGCAACTGTTGCAATGGCAATTGTCATGGAAATAGTTACCATGGCAACCGTTGCTATGGCAATCTCTATGGCACCTGTTACTATGGTACCAAACCAATTATTGTTTGACAACTGTTACTATGGATGGCAATTTTCATGGTAACAGTGGTCATAGTGACAGTTGTGACAGTGATGGTTGCTATGGCAGCCATCACTAAGGCGACAGTTACCACGGGAACCATAACTTGGGGAACAATCGCCATTGCAACTGGCAGACAATCTGGTGAATCTTGTTTTAATGCCAATTTATTGAAACTTTAAACTTTAAAGTTTGTTTCCAAACGTGTTGAATGATAGCGATGTTATTACCTTGCCATGTTTCGGTGGCAAGCATCTTGCGTACATATGACGTGATAAAGAATAAAGCTATTGAAGAACCAAATTACTTAATCTACTCTAGAAGACAGCTAAAGTATGCCTCAGAGATTTTGTACTTAATTCTTGCTTCATCGTTATGCTAAAGTTTAGACTTGTTTCCTTATTATGTTAAAGCTAGATATTTCCTACTTTCATCTTTATTATTCTAAAGTTGGAGATATTATTCTATTTTAGTAAAGAGTTACTATTCATTTATCTTGTGCTGTGTGCTCCTCATTCCTACTGTTCTGTAACTGGTGATGAAACCCTAAAATTTCCCACTGTGGGACGAATAAAGTATCTCTTGATCTTGAACAAACAAACAAACAAACTTTTTTAAATGTCTTTTCTAAAGGTGTCTGGGTTGAAATATGGAACTAAGTATAACTACAGAGTGATGGCTGAAAATGCGGCTGGAATTTCTGATCCGTCTAACACTATTGGACCACTCCTGGCCGATGACCCACACTGTGAGTTTATCATATATATCTGGGTGTTGTTTTCATTGCATTTTTAATATTTTGTTTTGTTTCTCCTTAGTTGCCCCAACATTTGACCTTAGCGCTTTCAAAAACGGCCTGGAGGTAATCGTCCCCCAGCCTTTGACCATCAGAGTCCCTATCACTGGATACCCCATTCCTGTCGCCAAGTGGACCTTTGGAGAGAAGCTGATGACTCCAGAGGACGAGCGCGTCACCACAACTACCAAGTCCACCTTTGTCGAGCTGGTGGTGACCCCAAGTGTCCGCCCCGACAAAGGCAGCTACACTCTGACCCTGGAAAATGAAGTTTCATCTGCTTCTGGAGAAATCGAAGTCAATGTAATCGGTAAGTTAAAACTGATTATGTTTTTGGGAGATATCATGATAAGTTAAAATCACCTAGTACCCATTTTCCATGTAATTGAGCAAAATTAGTTTTTGCCATGTGGTAATTTTGGGTGTATTTTTTATTTCTCTGCATTTTATATACATTAGTGTACGATGCGATGTCAGAGAAACTGAATGTCCACAGTTTATGTGAAAAGTCCTTGAGAATGTGATGAGCTTAGACTACTGCAAATTGTTACAAAAGACAAACAGATTGTGACCATCTCTTATTTGGTACGGGACTTCACAGTGTCTAGAATCAGTTTTATTTTTATTTTTTTTCATCTCCTAATAGAACAACAACAAAGCAAAATATATCTACTATATATTTTGACTGACCTCATGTATTTGTTTTATAGCTGCTCCTAGTGCTCCAAAAGACTTTAAGGTCCTGGAGGTGACACGTCAGCACGTGCACCTGAGCTGGGAGGCCCCTGAGCACGATGGAGGCAGCCCACTGACAGGATACCAGGTGGAGAAACGCGATGTGTCCCGTAAGACCTGGGTCAAGGTAAGATATTTTTTTGAAGTTTTTCATGTGTTACTGAGTTATGAATGGAGTGAAAAGTATCTGTTTTTGCTTGATTTAAAGGTGGTGACTGGAATCCAGGATCAGGAGTATACCATAACTGATGTGGTGGAAGGAAAGGAGTATCTGTTCAGGGTGACTGCCTACAATAAGTGTGGCCCCGGAGAGCCCGCCTACATCGACGAGCCTGTCAATGTGTCATCCCCAGCCAGTAAGCCCACAACATGTTCTCCTCTATTAGAATAACTTTATATTTCCAATGTCTTAGCCAGGTTTCCCACAGAAAATTGTTTAATTGTGCATTCTAATAGATTTGTTTGCAGAACATAAATAATCACTCTGAGCCTAGTATAAGTTGAGCCTATTAGTTTTCATTTTAAGATTGGCCAACCTCGCTTGTGCACCTGTCCCATTGGATTGTTCTTCTTCAAATAGTTAACATTTCTAACTATGTTTATTTTGTGTTTCCAAAGCCGTGCCTGACCCACCAGAGAACCTCAGGTGGAGAGACAAGTCGGCTAGTGGCATCTTCCTGACCTGGGAGCCTCCTAAATATGATGGTGGCACTGGTATCCGTGGTTACAATGTGGATCGATGCCAGAGAGGAACTGACAAGTGGGAGCCGTGTGGAGACATGGTACCAGAGCTGAAGTGCCAGGTGATCGGCCTCACTGAGGGACAGTGGTACTCCTACAGAGTGCGCGCCCTCAACAGACTTGGGGCCAGCCGACCTTGCAAGGCCACAGATGAGATCCAAGCTGTCGATCCTAAAGGTACTTTAAACCTAAGAAAGAAGCTTGAATGCAAACTGTAAATATTTTTTATTATTACTATGTATTTTAGTCTAATTTGTTCAATTTAGATACATGTACATGTTCAAGACTTAAACAAAAATATATTTATATTCAAAATCATCAACACAGTTTTAAATAACATTAATTTGGGAAATCCAAATTCTGTAAATTCTGTAAATTATTCATAATCTCTGTGTAATTTGTCTGTCCACAGAGGCTCCAGAGATCCAGTTGGATGCCAAGCTGCTGGCCGGCCTGACCGCCAAGGCAGGCAGTAAGATTGAACTCCCCGCCGAGGTGACCGGCAAACCGGAGCCCCGCGTGAAGTGGACCATGGCCGACCTGGTGCTCAAAGCAGACGACAGAGTGACCATTGACTCCAAACCTGGACACTCTACTGTCACCATTGCCAAAACCACGAGAGAAGACACTTCCACTTACATCATTGAGGCCACCAACAGCAGCGGCCGTGCCACAGCTACTGTAGACGTCAACATCCTAGGTTAACATATACAATATTCTAATATTCCCCTAGTGCTTTTACTGACCGTTTTGTATCATAATGAGTGGTCAGTAAGGGTATGAGTTCATTTTACATATTCAAATAGTCACATATATTACTAAACAACATGGCTCCTTTACTGTTCAGCTATGTTACATTTATTAATGAATTAGAATTTTTTTGTTGCAGTTCATCACAGTCCATGTTCACAATACATGGATGCAATAGTCCCCTCTTTCTCCAGCTTCAGTTACAAAAGAAAGTTTTTAATGTTTCCTTCAGTCGTCAGCACATTTATACTGAGTACAGTCCCAGGTCACTTTTCAGATCAGCAGTATCCTACGGCACTCATGTTAAGGAGGTGCTTGATGCTGCGTAATCATGTTCAATATCTAGAGGGGGGATAATACAGGTGGAGAAGAAAATAATGTTTTCTTTCTGTTCTTGTGTATAGCTCAACCTGTGCAATTAGTTAGATATATAGATAGATGGATAAAAGATAAATACTTTATTGATCCCTTTAGGGGAAATTCAGGTGTCCAGTAGCAGCAAAAAAACAGAAATTGATCATTCTAAAAAGCTAGCAATAGTAATAATCAGCAACAGCCCTTCAGGTCACAGCAGCAGAGATTAAGTAGACACTGGGTGGAGCAGGACAGGTCACAGCAGCAGATGTGTGAGATGTGGCTTGAGATGCGTGTGAGAATTACCCACTTATCAGAGTGGGTCATCAAAGTAGAATCTCATAAATCTTTGCACATAGATATCTTGATGTCTATTTTGATTTAAATATCCATCCATGTTTTTTCAGACAAACCTGGTCCTCCAGCTGGCTTTGACATCTCTGATATCACCAATGAGTCTTGCTTCTTGGCCTGGAACCCACCCAGAGACGATGGCGGATCTCGTGTCACTAACTACATTGTTGAACGCCGTGCTGCAGACAGTGAAATCTGGCACCGCCTTTCCTCCACCGTCAAACAAACCACCTATAAAGCAGTCGGACTGATCAAGTTCAAGGAGTACATCTTCAGAGTCTTTGCTGAGAATCAGTTTGGAGTTGGCGTGCCAGCCGAGCATCCTTCCATCATTGCAAGATATTCATTTGGTGAGTAGGTTAACCTCTTTATGTTGAGCATGCCATCGAGGAAGTTGAATATTTGATCGTTTTTGTTGTTTATAGATGCTCCTGGCGCACCTTACAAACTGGAGGCTTCTGACATAGCTAAGGACTCTGTGACACTTAACTGGTATGAACCAGATGAGGATGGAGGCAGCCCCATCACTGGCTACTGGGTGGAAAGATATGAAGCAGACCATGACAAGTGGATTAGATGCAACAAGCTTCCAATCAAGGACACCAACTACAGGTCAGTGCAAACACAAAAAATGTACTTACTTGAAAATCAAGCTATAAAAATGACCAGATCCTGTCACACCTCTGGAGCTAAGCAGCTCTGGCTACAATAGTAGTTTATGACCATTGTGAACAAAGAAGTGAAAGAGTGAAAGATATATAAGTGCTATATAAACCCATAATAATAATGATTATTATTATTACAATGTTTGTGAATGTGTTTCATTATAGAGTGAAAGGCCTGCCCACCAGAAAGAAGTATAAGTTCAGAGTCCTGGCTGAAAATCTCGCCGGAACAGGAAAACCGAGCAAGGAGACTGACCCGATCCTCATTAAAGATCCTATTGGTACAGAAGATAGATATTTCTGTCATGTTTCATTGTACATTGTTGAAATTGCTTCTGTTTTTAACAAATGTTTCACCATTGCTTGTCTTCAGATCCCCCATGGGCTCCTGGTAAGCCCACAGTGAAGGACGTGGCCAAGACGTCTTGTTTCCTGATGTGGACCAAGCCAGAGCATGACGGCGGTGCCAAGATTGAAGGCTACGTGATTGAGATGCTGAAGAGTGGCACTGTGGACTGGATCCGTGTGGCTGAAAACATTAACCTGCTGGAGCACTTCCTCAAGGGGCTCATGGAGAAGCAGGAATACTCATTCAGAGTGAGGGCCGTCAACGTGGCGGGAGAAAGCGAGCCCAGTGAACCCAGCGACCCCGTCCTCTGCAAGGAGAGACTGAGTATGTCTTTACTGTATTTTCTGTTCAGTATATAATTTTGTACTGAGTCTGTACAATTCCCATAACAAGCAAAATAACTGAACTGAAATGATTGATTATGGATATCTGTAATCAATCGTTTCTTGCAATACAGTACATTAGGTTCATACCAGACATGTAGTAGTGCTTGTGGACATGCCATGATACAATTGATATAATTAGATTACATGCCTAATTACTTAAAGAACAGTTCAGTCATGTTTCACTCCTTCCTTCAGACCCTCCCTCTGCCCCTCGCTGGTTGGAGGTGGTTAACATCAGCCGAAACAGTGCTGATCTGAAGTGGACTGCCCCTGAGCGCGATGGAGGCGCTCGCATTACCAACTACGTGGTGGAGAAGAGAGACGTGAGACGTAAGGGCTGGCAGGCTGTGGACACCACAGTCAAGGAGCTCAAGTCCACAGTGACCCCACTCAACGAGGGCTCTCTCTACGTGTTCAGAGTGGCTGCTGAGAACTCTGTGGGCGTCGGACCCTTTTGTGAACTTGCAGATTCAGTGCTTGCCAAAGACACTTTCAGTGAGTTACATTTAGCTACAAAGAGGATTATACTGTGATGGCAGAGATTTAAACATCTGTATATCCTATAGCTACTCCTGGACCACCATATGGACTCACTGTGAATGCTGTGACCAAGCGCTATGTGGATCTCATGTGGGACGAGCCTAAGAACGATGGAGGAAGACCTATTCTCAGGTAATGGACTTTACTAAGCTATGCATTATTTTAGATTCAATTTATATGATATTCATTGATTCTTTTTCCAGATACTCAATTGAAAAGAAAGAAAAGCTGGGTACTCGCTGGGTGAAATGTGGAAAGACTTCTGGCCCAGATTGTAAATACAGAGTGACAGATGTCATTGAGGGCACAGAGGTGCAGTTCTTGGTGCGTGCGGAGAATGAGGCTGGCACTGGACATCCCAGTGAGCCCACTGAAATCCTGACTATTGACGACCCAACTGGTGAGATACACATTGTTTACTGAAGACTATTTAGTTATTTGAAATGAAGATGTTACCAAATAAAATAAAAATACATCCATTTGAATACTAATGATACTTCTGGTAGTTACTGTTTAAAGAGCAAGGAACAAATTAGATTGACTGTATTTTGTCTGTCTTTTTCAAGTTTGGTGCCACCGCTTTAAGTTTTTCCCCACTTTCTACAGGTGTGCCATCTCCTCCTATTGAGCTGCATGTGACCGGAGCGAGCCGTGACTTCCTGTCCATTGCCTGGAAACCCCCGCAGCAGGATGGTGGCTGTCCCATCAGAGGATACCACATCGAGATGTGTGAGGCCGGCACAGAGAAGTGGATGAGAGTGAACTCTCGCCCAGTTAAAGAGCTGAAGTTCCGTGTGGAGGAGGGCATTGTCCCTGAAAAGGAGTATATTCTGAGAGTCAGAGCCATCAACTCTGCAGGAGTCAGTGAGCCGTCTGACATCTCTGAGAATGTGTTTGCCAAAGAATCTGACTGTAAGACATACTCCCTCTCTGTCCCCTACACATAGTGGTGCATCAGCTCTGGGTAAACTATTCTTTTTTTATATAGGTAACCCAACTCTGGAGTTCCAGACCTTGGATCTGGTTGTTGTGGAGACAGAAAAACTGCACATCCCAATTCCGTTCAAGGCTGTTCCTTCTCCCAAAATCACATGGCACAAAGATGGCAAGGAGCTGAAGGCTGATGAGCGCCTTACTTTCAGGTCAGTACAAATACCATTTCATTATTATACTAAAAAAAGAACTAGAATTACAGAATAAGAATAAGAAATTAAAACTTGTCTTTGTTTTACAGAAAAGAGTACATTTCCTGCCATCTGGAAATTGACAGCAGCGTTCATCCTGATGCTGGACAATACAAAGTGACTTTGGAGAACAGGCTTGGAGCTGCCAGTGCAACTATCAACGTTAAAGTCATCGGTACTCTAATCTCATTAAGCATTTTCTCATGTATGCAAAGCTACTTTTTTATATACCTTTTCAATCATTTTCAAAAGGTCTTCCTGGTCCTTGCAAGGAGATTGTAGCATCTGAGATCACAAAGAGTTCCTGTAAAGTGTCTTGGGATCCTCCAGATTATGATGGTGGTAGCCCCATTGTCCACTATGTTCTTCAGGTCAGTGATATTCTCAAGAAAACACATTTTAATGATGTTCTAAAATAGAAAACTAAAACGTATTGCTTTACAGAGGCGTGAGGCTGGCAGAAGAACATATGTCAACATGATGTCCGGTGAGAAGAAAGTCAGCTGGAATGTTAAAGATCTCATCCCGAACGGAGAGTATTACTTCAGAGTCCAGGTTGTCAACAAGATTGGAGGTGGAGAGTTTGTTGAGCTGAGGAACCCGGTCATTGCTGAAGACCAGAAGCGTAAGGACATAACTACAAAATATTAACAAGCATCTATAAGTGTGACTACTTTAAGTCACATTATTGTTGTGTCATCTCCTCAGACGCCCCAGACGCACCAGTAGACGTTGAGACGCACAGCCCAACCTCCAGCAACGTCACCCTGACCTGGAAGCCTCCCATGTATGACGGAGGTGCCAAAATCATGGGCTATATCCTGGAGAAGCAAATGAAGGGCGAGGATAAGTGGGAGAGGTGCAATGACTTCCTGGTGCCCGTCCTGTCTTACACTGTAAGGAGACTCACGGAGGGAAAGAACTACTCCTTCAGAGTCAAAGCGGAGAACGCTGCCGGAGTCAGCGAGCCCTCACGCAACTCACCCTTCGTCAAGATCTCTGATGCAATAGGTAAGAATCCTCAACATTCCTAATCGTTGTACTGTGATTGTTGTAGGAGTGATACAGGTAGCAGTTTTTACATATTTTGGTCTGGGGCAAGGACTTCCGGTATAAAAGTTATTTCAAAATCTTAGCAGGACTACTCTAGTTTGATTTACCCCCATAAGTTGTACTGTCACATGCAGCTTTGAGTTGTCTTCTTTCTCGTGCAATCGAGACATGATTTCTATGAAAATTCCTGTAATCTCAAACAAGGCATGAACACCTACTAGTCTCTACTCTAGTCTAGACTCAAATAGATTTGAAAGTCAGGATTTTTTGCAATTGGCAAAACAGCCCTAATTCTTACTGGTACACATTTAGTGCTCAATTCTTGCCTTTATACATTGCCAGAAACATCATAAATAGCCACAACAGAAATAAATGTTTATTCCAGCTGAATAAAGCATTCCACCAAATGTACTTAAATTGAGCGTGCATTGACAATATGAATATGTATAACATTATATGTTTGTCATCTTGAAACAGACCCTCCCAAGGTCTTCCTGAGTGGCAGCCTCCAGTCTGGCCTGAACGTGAAGCGCGGTTGTGAAATCTGCTTGGACGCCAACATATCCGGAGCCCCGTATCCCCAGATCACCTGGTACTGCAACAACGAGGTCATCCGGCCCGAGCCTCTCCGCAAGCGCCCTGAGAAGCCGCTGAAGCCCATGAAGAAGAAGGAGGAGAAGAAAGAGGAGAAGAAAGAGGTGAAGGAGGGCGAAGTGAAGGACGGAGAGAAGGAGGGAGAAGTCAAAGAAGGAGAGGAGAAGAAGGAAGAAGTAAAGGCGGAGGCAAAGGAGGGAGAGGAGAAGGCAGCAGAGGAGAAGGCACCAGAGGAGAAGAAGGAGGAGGAGCCAGAGGAAGAGCTGCCTGAATACCCCACTATGAACGAACGCGCAGAGATCGACAACAGCAAGAGGGGAGTGTCCTCTATCATCATCAAGGACTCCATCAGAGCGGACCACGGCGTCTTCATGATCAAGATCGAGAATGACCATGGCATTGCCTCAGCAACTTGTGAAGTCAATGTCCTGGGTGAGATATCAGTGTATTTTTGCATTGAATCATACTGTGATTATGTGTTTTACAGTTTACGCACTATAGACGCCAAAGTATTAGAATTGCTCCTGAATCCAAGATACAGTTACCTGGCATCCCACAAACATACATTTTACTTTTCCTTGTCAGGGCCAGCTAAAAAGGGCTTTGTGACCCGATTTGGAATGTTGTGTTTTTTACACCTGAGCTTTAGAATGTCTAACATTATACTCATTATTTTCTTTGATTCATATTGTATTTATTTATTTTACTACTTGACTTAAGTAGTCGTCTATTGCTTGTAGCAAATCAGGGCTCTACATTCTGTCTGTTTCTCACATTTCTGAAAAAGCTGCGTAAATGGTTAAAAAAAGTAAGTCAAAGATCCCCCAATGAAACTGCTTCATTGCTTTACAGACACTCCTGGACCCCCTGTGAACTTCAGATTTGAGGAAGTGAGAAAGAGCTCTGTTATCTGCAAGTGGGACGCTCCCTTGGATGACGGTGGCAGTGAGATTCTCAACTACACTTTGGAGAAGAAGGACAACTCCAAGGTCGAGTTTGGTTGGAGTACTGTCACTTCCACGCTGAGAGGCTGCCGCTACCTGGTGCCCAAGCTCATCGAGAAAAAGGAGTATATCTTCAGGGTCGTGGCCGAGAACAAGTTTGGAGCTGGGCCCCCATGCTTCTCCAAGCCACTTATTGCAAAGAATCCATTTGGTACTGTTTTTATCCTCTGCTTATTTTTTTATTTTTTCTCATTCAATTTACCACAGTCTTAAAGTATTTAATCTATTTCTCTTTCTTCAGATCCTCCTGAGATTCCAGAGAAGCCACTGATAGAAGATGTGGCTGCCACCTCCATGTTGGTCACTTGGAATGCACCCAACGATAATGGCAGTCCCATCATTGGCTATTGGATAGAGAAACGTGAGATCAACAGTTCCCATTGGGGTCGTGTCAACAAGTGAGGAGATCTTTTAACCAACACACACAAATAATTGTCAATGTCACTTTTCTGTTTTAATTTCTTGTTTGTTTATTCCAGGGACCTTTGTCCTGATACTGAACTGGACGTACAAGGTCTTATGGAGGGTCTGACGTACATCTTCCGTGTCGCTGCTGAAAACCAAGCAGGTCCCGGAAAGTTCAGTCTTCCCTCTGAACCCAGGACAGCTCAGTCTCCAATTTGTAAGTAACACATTTTTCTAATGTGTGATAAAGTGTTGAAAAAGACCACGTATGCTCACACTCCTGTGCTACAGTGCCTCCTGGTGCTCCTACTCCTCGTGTCATTGAGACCACAGACCACTCCATTGACGTTGAGTGGGACCCACCTCTCGACAACGGTGGAGGAGACATCCTTGGATACCACGTGGAGAAGGTCAGTTCGCCTAAACATGAATGTTGACAATATTATGGACTTGTTTGAGCTGGGTCTATGCTATCTCACAGGCTATTCTTGGAAGTAAAGACTGGTCTAGAGCCACAGAAAGACCTTGGAAAAATCGCACATTCACCGTGTATGGAGTCCGTGAAGGAGCTAAATATGTGGTCCGCGTCACCGCTTGTAATGCAGCTGGAGAGGGAAATCCAGGATTCACTCAGTCTGTGATTGTCAGGAATCCTGCTGGTGAGGAAATTCTTCAGATCTTTATTATGAAGTTCCCATGTTCAATCCACTTTGCAGGCCCATAATAAAAATCCCTACTATCTAATTATACAATACAGATATAGATATAGCACAAACAGTTCATATAATTTTACTGTAATTCAAATATGTATTATATATTGGAAACCCATATTCAATTCAATTCAACTTTATTACAGATCTAGGTCCAAACATAAAGACAGACAAGACAAAAAATGACAAAAATATTGAGAAAATGTATTGTATGATTGTATTTTACATTTGCAACAAGCTAAAAAGTAGAATAATAATATTGCATTTCTATTTTGCAACAATCTAAAAGTAGAACAATTAAGCAATTTCTGTAAAATTGTATTGTTAATTTCAGAGCCAATTTGTGGGTCATCCCCTAGGGCACTCCATTAACTTTTTTTGAGTTTATATGTGTACTAGATCAATATATTTATTCATTCAATTAAATCAATTTTATTTGATTTCCTTTTGTTTTGATTCTAACAGAGGTCCCAGTCATTGACCTGGGTTTGGCCCTGAAAGCAGGTATTTTCATCCGTGCTGGGGAGCATCTCCTTCTCCCAGCTATCATCACAGGAAAACCGTACCCATCCATCAGCTGGACTAAAGATGATGGCAAACTTGAGAAAGAACGTGTGGAGGTCCTCACTGAGGGGAATGCCAGCATCATAAGCATCAAGAACATTCAGCGCTCAGACTGTGGCAAATATCAAGTCTCTGCCTGCAACCCCAGTGGCATCAAGTCAGCTTGGACCAGAGTAGAAGTCCAGGGTATGTCTGTTTAAACAGTGTTTCTCATGATTTGTCTTCACTATAACATTTTAAACAAATTTGATGTACAATCGTTGTTCTCTACAGATGTTCCTGGGCCAGTTACAGATTTGAAACCTGTGGTGGTCACCCGTAAAATGATCTTCCTGAACTGGGACGACCCTGATGATGATGGTGGCAGTGATTTGACTGGTTTCATTGTTGAGCGTAGAGATGCTAAGGGGCATACATGGAGGCAGCCTGTAGAAACCCCCTCCTCAAAATGTGAATGTGTGGGCATTATGGAAGGACAGGATTACTTCTTCCGTGTTACCGCCAAGAACAAATTTGGCCTCGGTCTGCCTGTTGAGCTGGGACCTATCACGGCCATTGACCCACAAGGTGAGAAAGGTTTTTTGTGACTTCAGCAATATAGTTTTATCTCGTTTTATTGAAAGCTCTTTTACCGTTGCTGCTATCTTTTTTTAGGTCCACCATCATACCCAGAGAAGTTCCACTACACCGAGAGGACCAAGGACTCCATCACTCTGACCTGGAAGCCACCTCGTAATGATGGTGGTAGCCCTGTGATTGGATACTTTGTTGAGAAAAAGAGGCAAGACCAGCAGAACTTCGAGCCCTGCAACACAGAGATATGCCCCAACATGACCATGACAGTGACTGGACTTGAGGAGGCATGGATGTATGAGTTCAGGATCAAGTGTGCCAACCTGATTGGAGAGAGTGAGCCTTCCATCCCAATGACTGTGGTTATCCAGGATGATGAAGGTAAGGCAACATTTTGTGGAATTGAGGGTTCTTTGTAATTGGCACAACATTGACTTTTTGTTTTTATCAAATGTCTAGTGTCTCCTGAGGTCCACATGTTGAAGGTCTTCAAGGCCGACACCATAACGGTGAAGAAGGGTGAGCCCATTGAGATACCTGCAGATGTCTTGGGTCTTCCCATCCCCAAGATCGAATGGACTAAGGACGATGTGGTCATTGAGCCAATCCCAGAAGAACTGTTGATAGAGACTGTGGAAACTGGCCGGCTGAACTGCAAAACCACTCTATCCTTCCCATCGGCCAAGAGGAGCGACAGAGGCGCCTACACTGTGACCGGTTCCAACAATATGGGATCAGCACATCACACCACCTACGTTATGGTGCTTGGTGAGTCAATACATTGACACAAAAACTATAGCTATTGTCTCATTAGGGGCAGATGACTAATGTCCATAAATGTTGATAAATACATTTTCTTAGCATGCGAAAAAGTGAATATCAAGCGTAAGAGTATCCATATCAAAGTCCTTAAATGGACAAGTGTTGCCACATTTACTATCATTGATGTTACATTTGAACAACTCATGACTGCTGGACACCTGAATTTCTCCTACGAGGATCAATTATCTATCTATCTTGACATTAATGCACAATGCTATTAAAGTCTTGTTTTTCATCAGATCGCCCTCTCCCACCAAGGAACCTCACTGTGCCCAACATTAAGTCTGAAGCCTGTTTCCTCCACTGGGAGGCTCCACTGGACAATGGCGGCAGTGAACTAACCAACTACATTGTTGAAAAGAAGGAAATTGTAAAGGATGTGCCAGAGGTGGAGGAAGGCCAGGAACCACCCCCTGAACCACAGTGGGAGCTGGTCACCAATAGCATCGTTGAGAGGAAGTTCTGGGTATGTTATTCTCCTGGTGGATGAATAAAAATGTGCATAATGATTAGCGGTCCCCTTGACATTAGAGCAAACTGCTCTATTGTCAGCATTGTACACACAGATAGAAATATTGTGTGCGCAAAGTGAAACAGAGAAGGAGCGAATGCAAACGTTTGGAAAGTAGTGCTTACCTTTATGGTTAACTATTAAAAGTTTCCGCAATCTGTCAGATGCATCGAAGTCTGAAGCATCTGACTGAGGCTGAGGGCTTGTATGTTGAACCTGCGTATGGTTGTAATGAAATAAATGCAGAGAACTACAAGTGGAGTTTATCTTAGATTAACAGTAATTATCACAGTTGTTGTCATTGAGTTCCTATTTATTATTGACGTGTTAGGAATTTGTGTAGGCTACTATTCTCAGTGAAGGTTTCTGATCATTTGTGATCAAATTCAACAGTTTAGCACCTGATGATGAATATATACCACTTGTTAAGGATTTGTGTAATGATATGTATTTACTTTTGTATCATTGTTTTAAAGGCTTGGGGCCTTGAGACAAACAAGAGCTACATGTTCAGGATAAAAGCAGAGAATCGTTACGGTGTCTCCGACCCTTGCTCTATCGATGAAGTTCAGATTATTGATCCACTTGGCCTTCCTGGGCCTCCAGAGAAACCAACTATTGCAGAGTACTCCAAGACAGCTATGACTTTGACATGGGAACCTCCAAGAGAAACTGGTGGTTCTATGATTACTGGCTACTGGCTGGAGAAGAGAGAGAAGGGCACCGCCTACTGGGCTCGTTGCAACAAGTTGCCTATTACTAAGAGAGGCTCAAAGGGATGGGAGTACCAGGTGAGACACGTAAACAATTTTGTTTCTAATATTTACATCAATAAATCAAAACTTTACATGTGCACAAACACATGCTTACTTTTATGTACATACATATAATTGTAACTGTATATGCCTCCCAGGTGACTCGTTTGTTTGAAGGCACGGAATATGAATTCAGAGTTGCAGCCGCCAACAGTGCAGGAACAGGTCCTTTCAGTTCCCCATCCGACTCTGCCTTTGCAGTAGACCCAATCAGTGAGTATCATTCACCTTCATATCTGTTTCCTTTGAACCTTATTGTGTCTTAACAATGTTGTGTCATCCTATAGCTCCTCCAAGCATGCCTGCTGCTCCAGAAGTGGTTGATAAGAACAAGCACAGTGTGACACTGGCTTGGAAGCCCCCTGACTTTGACGGTGGCAGTCCTGTTAAGGGCTACATTGTTCAGATCCAGGATGAGGGCGGCTCCGACTGGGTGAGAGTGAATGATCCTGATAATCTTCACCCCACAACTGAGTTCACCGTGCCCAGTCTCCGGGAGCTCAAGCTCTATCGCTTTAGAATTATTGCTGTCAATGACATTGGGGAGTCTGACCCAAGCCCCCGCACCGCTGAGGTTCTGGTCCAAGATGTTCAGCGTAAGACCAACTCAACTTACTAAAGTTTCTGTAGCTTCTCACTTTCTCATGTTGACTGTTTTCTATTGTTTCACAGTTCCTCCGGCTATAAGCATTGATGTGTCAGTCGATGACCTCGTTTGCATTCGTGCTGGAGATCCAATCAGGATTCCTGCTACAATCAAGGGTCGTCCTGCTCCTAAAGTGACTTGGGATTTCACTGGAAAAGCAAAATCACACAAGAAGAACAAACTTCATATACTTCCAGTTGACTCTGAAGTAAGATACACATTAATAAACATACATGCTACACTCCAAAAATGAATCAAATATGGTAAATGCTTTGATAAAGTCATTTTAATCTTGATTCAAGTACAGTTAGACTGTCTTAAACAAGATTTACCATTTGGACATTAAAGTGCTTTTGTTGTCCATTCCTACTAAAGCCATTTTGTTTATTCCATTGAAATATTTCAAACAATGTTCAACTTTGGTTGTGTGCTATGGCTGAGAAAGCTAGGGCCGGGAAACATAATTTGAAAATAAGAAAAAATATTGACATTCAAACGATCATTAGACAGCCCATAATATTGAAATATTAAACCGCATGATTGTTGTGTATTTTAGCTTGCAAATTTTGATATTTCTCTTCAATCACAGGCAGTCATGCTTAGATAAATAATCCTGTTTTAGAATTGGTCAGAATATTGTTTTTATCCATATGCACAGGGCGTGTGGACGTGTGACTGTTGAAAAGTAAAACGGCATCTGATTACCTACATGCACTGCCCTCTAGTGGACAAAACAATTCAATTATTTTCAAGTATATTCACATTTTAATATTCATAAAACAATGAAATTTGGTGGTTTTGAGCCCAGCCCAACTTTGTGGGTAAATAAATCTGATTAGAACTAAACCTGATCATTAACTCTTTTGCACATGCCTACTTACTTTGACTAATTGTGATGAATTATGTATTTGTCGACTGTTTGGTTGATATACTTTATGGAGTAAGTGGTGTATTTTAAAAGTTTCTGTTTCTTCTTTTAAATTTCCCTGTAAGGACAAACACATTTTCATTCTAATATTGTCATTCTTGAAATAGGTGGAGTCCACAGATACCACTTCTGTTGTGACTGTCCCAGTCAGTCAGAGGACACACACCGGTCGCTACATGATCACTGCCAAAAACAAGTCTGGCCAGAAACACGTCAATGTCAGAGTCATTGTACTTGGTATGTTTATCACTCATCTTTTTTCTTACTCAAAATTGACTTCATATATCATGATCTATTTTTTAATTTGTATTATGATTTAGATGTTCCTGGACCTCCAAAGGACTTGAGAGTTACTGATATCACCAGATCTACCATGAGACTTATCTGGAAGTTGCCAGAGACTGATGGAGGAGAGAGAATCAAAAGCTACTTCATTGAGAAGAAGTCAATGATTGATAAGGCTTGGACCAAGGTACCCATCTTTGTCATTAACTATGACAAACATTGTAACAACTCATTATCGGATTTCATTTATTTTTTAACTAGGTCAATGCAGCCTGCGCCAGCCAAGCCTTTGTGGTTCCTGGGCTTTTGGAAGGTCAGGACTATTTGTTCAGAGTCCGGGCTGAGAACAGACTTGGATTTGGTCCCTTCACAGTCACTACTGATCCTGCCAGAGCTACAGATCCTATCTGTAAGTTCTAACTTGGAATTAACATTATTCAAAAAAAAAAATTAAAACCTCCATTTCAATTCATTTCAATATATTTGTGTATAGCGTTAGATCACAACAGTAGTTATCGCAAAGGACTTTACAAAGTTGTTGATTTACCAACACAGATCAGAGAATCAAACAGTTAAAACACATATGATTAAAAAAAACATTGTTCCATAAGGGGCGGATGAACAATGTCCATAAATGTTACTAATGATTCAGATTCAGTTTATTTGCCATTTGCAGTAAAAAAACCACATTGGAATACATTAGCAAAAGTCACCAGTGTGCACAGACAAATACAGACATAAAACATTAAAAGACAAAAATAAAACAAATAAAACAGTAAACAAATGTCACTGTGAAATCGATCGACTAAAACAGTTCAAAACAAGTGCAAATCATTAAAGTGCTCTGTTCACACTGATAACAGCTTGTGGATAAAAACTGTTAGCGTAACGAGATGTCCTGCATCTCAGAGAGCGATATCTTCTGCCAGAGAGAAGAAGCTGGAACATGGCTTTCCCAGGGTGGCCAGAAGAGTCATTGACAATCCTAAGAGCTTTGTTTAAAAGTCTGGATTTATAAAGAACCTCCAGAACAGGAAGCTCACAGCCCACGGTCCTCTTTGCAGAGCGGAGCACCTTGTTTAAAGCTCTCTTTTCTTTATCTGTGATGTTTCCAAACCACACAGACACAGAACCAAAAAGCAAACTCTCAATGGTGCAGCGATAAAAGTTAAGCACAATCTTAGAGTTAGTGGTAAATTCTCTAAGTTTACGCAGAAAGTAGAGACGCTGATGAGCTTTCTTAACGACTCGGTCAGTGTTTTTAACCCATTTCAGGTCGTTAGACAGAGTTAAACCCAGAAACTTGCACTCCTCTACGATCTGCACTTGGGAGTTGTCGATTACGACAGGCAAATGAGAACTATTGCGACTGAAGTCGTAGACCAGTTCACATGTTTTGGATGCGTTCAACTGGAGGTTGTTAGTTTTACTCCACTGAACCACATTTTGTATCTCTGCTCTATAAGAGGATTCATCAGTGTCACTGATGAGACTGATGATGGTGGTGTCATCAGCATATTTGATGATCAAGTTTGAGTCAGAGGAGGACACACAATCCTGAGTGTACAAAGTAAAAAGCAAAGGACTCAAAATACATCCCTGAGGAGAACCAGTGCTCACAGAAACAACATCAGAAAAACAGTCATTGATTTTCACTCTCTGAGATCTGTCAGTTAAAAAGCTAAAAATCCATTTACACATGGCAACACTTAAACCGAGAGACATGAGCTTTTCAATCAGTTTACCTGGGGCAAGGCAGTTAAAAGCAGAGCTATAATCGATGAAAAGCATTCTCGCGACAGATTTACTAGTGTCCAAGTGACTGTAGACAAAGTTCAGAGCAAAGGAGATGGCATCCTCCACACTCCTGTTCTGTCTGTAAGCAAACTGGAGCGGGTCAACACTCGCAGGGATCTGGCTCTTAATGAAGTCCAGCACAAGCCGCTCAAAAGTTTTCATAAGAACAGACGTGAGGGCCACAGGACGATAGTCATTCAGGCATGTCACAGGAGTTTTCTCAGGAACTGGAATGATGGTCGACTCTTTCAAGCAGTTCGGCACAGTACAGTTCCTTAGCAACAGGTTGAAAATGTCTGTTAGCACAGGGGCAAGTTGCTCAGAGCACAGTTTCAGGACACGAGGAGGGATGCCGTCCGGGCCTGGGGCTTTCCGGACTGTGGTCCTGGACAAGACACGCCTGACTTCCTCCTGAGTCACGGTGAAGGTACCTTGATTGAAACACTCAGGGAATACAGTAGGACAGGCATCATTGGGCGGCACGGTGGCTGAGAGGATAGCACTCTCGCCTCGCAGCAAGAAGGTCCTGGGTTCAAATCCCGGTCGGACCAGGGCCTTTCTGAGTGGAGTTTGCATGTTCTCCCTGTGTCTGCATAGGTTTCCTCCGGGTACTCCGGTTTCCCCTACCACTAAAAATATGTCCAATAGTTCAGGCATGCGCCTCCTGTTCGGCGACCCCGCTCCTATCTCTGTGTGGAGTGAGAGACAAATGCCCATAATTAACAATTGTAAACCGCTTTGAGACTCAGATCTGCAGTGAAAAGGCGGTATATAAATAAAGATTACTTACTTACTTACTTATCAGTGGATTCAAAGCGACAGTAGAACGTGTTCAGCTTGTTTGGCAGAGCTTGATAATGGTCCTGCATTATCAATACTGTCCTTAGACCTTCCTGTATCATCAAGCAACAACTCAAAAACCCAGTGGTTTATAATGTGTGTTGTTTTTTCAGACATCCCTGATCCTCCCACCAAACTCAAGGTGAACCTTGTGACCAAGGACACTGTCACCCTGAGCTGGGAGGCCCCCAAAAACAATGGTGGCTCTCCAGTAAAGCACTACATAATTGAGCGCCTCAGTTGGGACACTAGTGGAAAGGAGAAAGAAACATGGAAGCAGTGCAACAAGAGAGATGTTGAAGAACTTACCTTTATTGTGGAAGACCTGAAGGAGGTGAGCAATGTTATGAGACCAAGTATATGTGCTGTAATACATGCAGCCAGTATAGATGCAAGAGCATCACACAAAATAAATCACTTCACTCCATGTGTGAATATTTTTTTTATATTATTGTCACTTCTTCAGGCCAGTGTTTGTTTGACTCTGATGCTTTTCTTATGAAAGGGTGGAGAATATGAGTTCAGAGTAAAAGCTGTGAACGCTGCTGGACCGAGTCGTGCTTCTGCTACTGTTGGTCCAATGGTCATCAAGGACCAGACATGTAAGTTATCATAGTAAGTTAAAGATGCACTCACTCATAAGAGAAAAACATATATATATATTTTCCCCTCCCTACAGGTGCCCCCACTATTGAGATGCGTGAGTTCCTTGAAGGTGAGGAAGGCTGTGATGTCAGCATTGTGGCCAAGGTCAGCGGTTGCCCATTCCCCACTTTGACATGGCACAAAGTCAATGCAGCTAAACCCGAGGAGAAGACTCCAATCCAATATGACCAGCACATGAACAAACTGGTGACACATGATAAATGCACCCTGCTCATCCAGCAGGCCAACAGAGTCGACAGCGCCCTCTACAGTCTGTCAGCCAGTAACAGCTTGGGGACCGTGTCCAAGGACATCAAGGTCTCAGTCTATGGTAATTCAGCTAGAACCGGTGAATGATATTCCACCCAAGTCAAATAAGTCACTCAACTTTATCTGTCTCTTCTTCATTGTTTAGGACCACCTGGCCCACCTGTCGGACCTGTTAAACTAACTGAGGTGTTTGCTGAGAGGATTGGGCTGGCCTGGAATCCACCCACCGACGATGGTGGTTCTAAGATCACCAATTATGTTGTTGAAAAGCGTGAAGAAAACAGGAAATCCTGGGTCCACGTCTCAAATGACCCCAAAGAGTGTGCCTATGTAGTTACTCGTCTGACTGAAAACCATGAGTATGAGTTCAGGATTATGGCCCAGAATAAGTTTGGAATTGGACCTTCAATTGTCAGCCAGCCAGAGAAAGCCAGAAACCTTTTCAGTAAGTTTAGTCCTCAGCTATTCCTATGTTTCTGACCAATGGGCTAAATAGCTAAACACGCCATTTTTTTGCAGCGGTACCTGGTCAGTGTGAAAAGCCAACTGTGACAGAAGTTTGTGTCGAGTCAATGACAGTGAACTGGGATGAGCCTAAATATGACGGCGGCTCCTCCATCACTGGGTACTACCTGGAGAAGAAAGAAACAACATCCAAGCGCTGGACCCGCGTGACACGTGAGCCGATCCGGGCCTTGCCAATTGGCAACAACTGGGATGTGACAGGCCTGCAGGAAGGAGCCTTGTACCAATTCAGAATCATCGCTATCAATGCTGCAGGCTATGGACTGCCCAGCATGCCCTCTGACCCTATTCTCTGCAGAGACCCCATCAGTAAGTACATTTCACTTAAGGCTTGGGGGAACATTTATACAAAATCTGCCTGAAATGTATAAAGCTAAATTTATATTTTTTCTGCATAGAGCCCCCTAGCCCACCGACACCAAAGGTAATAGACTGGACCAGGTCCACTGTGGAGCTGGAATGGATTCCTCCATCAATGGACGGAGGTTCAAAGGTGACAGGATACATTGTGGAGTATAAGGAAATAGACAAGGAAGAAGAGGAAAAGAAAGCCCAGAGAAGGAAGTTGATGCTGAGTGAAGAGGAAGAGAAGGAACCAGGTGCAGAGGAGGAAGGATGGAAAAAGGTGAACTATCTCTTTGTGCACAAATTAATGATTATGAGCAGAATAGTAAACGCTGGATTTCCACAGGCTAAGGACACTGAGGTCAGAGGAACTAAATTTGTGGTGGACAGCCTAACCGAGGGAGGCTTGTACCAGTTCAGAGTCAGAGCTGTGAATGCAGCCGGAGTCGGCGACCCAGGCTATGTTTCAGAGCTCATTGAAACTAAAGACAGGACAAGTAAGAGTCTTAGCTAATACAAACAAGTTGCATGAAAAGGTACACAATACATAAATGTATTAATACCATTGTTCTGCAGTTCCACCTGAGATGGACCTGGACGCCTCTGTGAAGGAGAAGATTGTTGTCCATGCCGGTGGAACTATTCGTATAATCGCCTATGTGTCTGGTAAACCGGTTCCTCAGATCTCATGGTTTAGGGATGATGCTGAACTGCCAAAAGAGGCAGTTGTGGAAACAACAGGAATCTCAAATTCACTAGTTATCAAAAACTGCAAGCGTGCACACCAAGGCATCTACACCCTTAGTGCCAAGAATGAAGGTGGAGAGAGGAAGAAGTCTGTGATTGTGGAAGTCTTGGGTAAGTGTGAAGAAATTGTATCTTACTAGTAAATTATTTTCTTTTTGACCAATTATGGAATATTCCTATATTATTTGTACACTGATAAGTATCCTTTTACAATGGAAAAGTGTATTTCTTTTTACTGGAGAGGCTTTCACTGCATTATTGCTAGAATACACAATTCTTCAGCATTTTGGACCAATATGCTATTCCAATAGAGGTTTAACTTAGACTAAATTGCAAAAAATACACCAAGTATGGGTGGGTTAATTAATGGTGCTTGGTTAAAAGAAAAGACTAAACCCTGTGTGGTTTTCTATAGATGTGCCTGGACCTGTTGGCCAACCCTTCTCTGGAGAAAACTTGACAAATGACTCTTGCAAGCTCACTTGGTACTCTCCAGAGGATGATGGTGGTTCCGCCATTACCAACTACATCATTGAGAAGAGGGAGTCTGACCGTATGGGCTGGACCTCTGTCTCATACACGGTCACAAGGAACAACGCCGTGGTGCAAGGACTTCATGATGGCAAAGGCTACTTCTTCAGAATTGCAGCTGAAAACATCATAGGGATGGGACCCTTCACTGAGATTGAAAAGATGGTCATGATCAAGGACCCCATCTGTAAGTTATGCCCTTTATACAAGGTAACTCCACATACCTAATTATACAAGTAAACATTCATTGAATTTGTATTTTAAAGCCGTCCCAGAACGCCCAGAAGAGCTCATAATTACTGCAGTCAGCAAAGACTCTATTTCTGTTGCCTGGAAACCACCTAAATATGACGGTGGCACAGAGGTCACAGAGTACGTGTTGGAGTCTCGTATGGTTGGGCGGGACAGCTTTGTGCGTGTGGGCGCAGACACCAAACTGATGGACAGGAAGTACACTCTCACTGGTCTGAAGGATGGCTCTAGCCACGAATTCAGAGTGTCTGCCATCAACCAAGTGGGAAAGGGCAAATCGTCCTTTGCCACCAAACCTGTACAGTGCAAAGATGAACTTGGTGAGTAGAAAAGTACCAAACCTCCACAAGCAGAACTTTACTTTACCAAGGTTGTTTGCTATGATTTTAATTGTAAGACGTTACAAATTTGCGTTCTAAAGCCATTAAATGAGAGACTTTCTAAAAAACAACATAAGAGTCCATCCATGACTTTAGTAGGTAAGCATTTTTAAGACTAATATATTATATTGGCACGCTAAGGAAAACCAATAGTTCATTGTTACATGTCGTTATTTTATGGGCTAAGCTAACATTTTCATAACTAAGACTAAGTTAGGACTAACTAAGTTTTTGGTAACATTTATTAATATAGAAAATATAGACATATGACTGAGTGATTTAGAGGTAATTATCAAAGATTTAAAAAATCCAAGTATACATAGAGAAAATAATCCACTTTCACCAATTAGAATAAGTTAGGGGCAACGTGGTGATACAAGTTCCTGGGTTAGTTTCCACCTCCAGATAAGCGTTTCTGTGTTGAGTTTGCATGTTCTCCTTGTGTCTTTGTAGGCTTCTTCGAGGTGCTCCGGTTTCCCCTACCCCATTAATATCCAGGTCCATTCCCCATAAACCTCAATGCTGCCTACGGCCTTGTCTCTTTGTTAGCCTCACACACACATATAAAGTACATCTCTCTCATTCCTTTTATAGAGCCACCCACACTGGAGATGGACATCAGAGAGAAGATGATGGTGAAGGTGGGAGACATGTGCACTCTCTCTGGGCGATACAGTGGCAAACCAGCCCCAGCTATCACCTGGAAGAAGAACGACGAAGAGCTGAAGGCGGATGAAGAGATCAGCCTCCACAGCACAGCCCGCCACCTTAGCCTCAACATCAGCAAAGCCAAGAGAGAGCAAAGCGGCTGCTACTCCGTCAGTGTTGAGAACGCAGCTGGCACTCGCACTGGAATCTGCACCATCACTGTTGTTGGTATGTCTCACGAACTAAAAGACTGACAAATGTTGCTGAGTGATTGACTTAAGTGGAGGCTGTTCAACAAGCAGGCAGTCCAATGGGAACACGTTCTAAATTCTGTTACTATAGTTACTATCAGAAACACTTGGGAATGGCTTCAAAGTAGCAGTGGAAACATATGTTAAACCTGGCTGTCTGTGGATGCCTTGACTTCGTATGTTTTTTATATTATTGACAGGTGACTGGTATAATTGTCTACACATAGAAAAATATGTTTGTTGTTTAACTTTGATTTGGTGCAATAACTAAGTAATAAGTGTGTTTCACGTTGGCTGAGTGGATAGCACTCTCGCCCCTCAGCAAGAAGGTCCTGGGTTTGAGTGGAGTTTGCATGTGCTCCCCGTGTCTGCGTAGGTTTCCTCTGGGTACTCCGGTTTCCCCTACCACTAAAAATATGTACAATAGGTCTGGCATGCGCCTCCTGAACTGGCGACCCCGCTCCCATCTCTGTGTGGAGTGAGAGGACAAAATGCCCAAAAAAATATAACAATTGTAAACCGCTTTGTGACGCTTTGTCTGTGAAAGGCGGTAGATAAATAAACATTACTTACTTAATTACTTTACTTTCTTGTTTATGTTATTTCCTCAGACCGTCCTCAGCCTCCAGAGGGCCCAGTTGTGTTCAATGAGATCTACAGAAACTACATGGTGATTTCCTGGAATCCTCCTCTGGACGATGGCGGCTGTGCTGTGTCCAACTACATAATTGAAAAGAGAGACACAAACAGTGATTTGTGGATGCCTGTTACTGAATCTTGTACTAGAACCACATGCAAGGTAATTAATTTGCCATGACAAACACATGTTTATCACATAATCAGGGCTCGACGTTAACGACTGTCCTTCCCAAACTAAAGATTTGGGAAGGACAAGTGTGCTGTCTTAGTAAGTTGCTCAATCGGGCAAGTAATGAATTACTTTTACCCATTCGGCCGAAAACACATTCCTCTAGAGCTGGGAGCAGACTGTTCGTTTATCTTTTTTGACCATTTCTCTTCATTCAATTCTCTGGACTAATCAGGCATCAGGCATCAGGATAAACCAGGGATGAAATTTTCCTTTGGATCCGACTTTTTCCTGTAGAAAATGTCCTTTCTGTGAAACGTGTGATTGCAAGCACTTTCTGTTGTTTGATGTACGTACTTGAACAGGATTCCACATCCTCTGTTCTGACCAGTGGGAGCGGGTCCCGGCTCAAAAGTGGCCAAAATGACGTGCGCTAACATGCTTGCAATACCACCCTGGGCCGATGGGGGTGGACCCGGAATAAGAATTAGCCAATGCTAACATATAGCATTGGCAGACCTCTGGAAAACGTCTTTATAGGGTGGTCCAAAAGTTGGCTCTTGGCCCAAAGCTCCGTTCCACATGTGTGTCAATGCTGAGGGGAGTGAATTTTTTTGGACCCCTCTAGTTTACTCGCTGCGAATTTTTGAAGTCACTCGTTTAAATGAATGGAGCTTGTGCCGGCTAACGCATGCGCAGGTTTTTTCACAATTTTCTTGTGAGCGGGACCACTCGCGGCCCTTTTGGATAGCTCCAGTAGAGCACAAGTTTTGGCCCATTTGTTTGAACAGTCTATGGTTCTGACCCCGGGAGCAACTGCTGCCGCTTTGTGATGACAGCGGTTCCCGTGAGCCACTTTGACAACAGCTCAGCGAACGCGCAGCCGTAACGTGGTACCGAGCGCGTACAGGACCATAGACGCATGTCTAGGACCATCTCCAGCTTGTACAAGTGCGGGTCTTCCCCATGTTTCCCCCGTGTCTCCTACCAAAGCGCAGCCAAAACTCCCAAAATTAAAGCTGGGGTTCCTAAATTATCCCTTGCATTAACAATGCATGTTGGTTGTGCACAAAAATAAAATGTTATGAACAAATCAAAATAGAGCCCTTAAGAGCCCTGTGAGTCATTATTTGACTTTTTTGGCTGAGAGTGGATTTTTTGACATTGAGCAAGTGAAATATAAATCGTACTTGGCCAAAGGGCAAGTGGCTGACAAAGCTTAATGTCGAGGCCTGCATAATACAATAGTAAATATTCTGTACGGCATCATGTATTGAATGAAATAAAGAAATACATTGCCATTGCAGGTGCCCAAGATGATTGAAGGCCGAGAGTACGTCATCAGAATCATGGCTCAGAACATCTATGGTGTCAGCGATCCTCTACTTTCTGCTGAGACCAGGGCCAGAGATGTTTTCAGTAAGTATTCTTTTCTGTGATGACAATACTTCCCTCTAAAAGTGACAGTATGTAACTTTTTAGAAGTACCATGTCATCTACCTAATTTCATGGATATTGTTTTTTACTTAGCTTATTTCTTGTGAGTCAGAAAAGTAGAGAAAAAAAAGCTCATGAGGTGCTCTCTCTTTGTCCATTCTTAACCAAAATAGTTCAATACTGTGGCTTTAAATTATGTAATTGTATTGCATATCTTAACCCTGATCAATTCTATTATTAATTCCATTGCAGAGGTGCCTGATGCCCCGAAACAACCCACTGTGAAGGAGGTCTACCATGATACTGCTCTTATTACCTGGGAGCCTCCTGCGGATGGTGGAAAACCTATCTCTGGCTACATTGTTGAGAAAAAAGAAACTATGGCCAAAAGGTAATGAAAGACTAAACAGAAGTAATAATGTGAACTCTGGCTAGATGGTAACCATAATTGGTATTTTTAGATGGGTTCGTTGCAACTCAGAGAGGATTTATCCCAAGGTTGAATACTGGGTGCCTGAGTTGTTGAAGGGGTGCGAGTATGAGTTCAGAGTCAGTGCTGAGAATGTGGTGGGAGCTGGTGATCCAAGCCCACCGTCCAAACCAGTCTTTGCCAAAGATCCCATTGGTTTGTTATGCCATTATAATACAGATTACAGTATGTGTGCATATAAATTTCTTGCTCTAACTTTACTAAATATATCTTCACCTCAGTTAAGCCCAGCCCACCAGTGAATGTTCACCACATAGATTTCAGTAAAGAGTCTGTCACTTTGGTCTGGGAACCACCCAAGGACAAAGGCCGTGGCAAAATATTTGGATATCTGCTGGAGTTCCAGAAAGCTGGAGACGAGGAGTGGGAGAAGGTGCGTATCTAAGCTTGGGATAGAGCACATTGACACTGGTCATAATTAGCCTACTGAATGTACATTATGCATTTGTTTTTTCTGTTGTTACCAGGTCAATCAAACTCCTGATTCCTGCCAAGACACAAAGTTCAAAGTGATCAACCTGGAAGATGGAAATCTGTATCGGTTCAGAGTTATGGCCGTCAATGCTGCAGGCGAGTCTGATCCAGCCTGTGTCAAGGAACCCATCAGAGTGCAGGATAGACTTGGTAAGATATACTGTTAACACAAAACTGAAGAGTGTCAACATGTGCAAAACTAACTATGATTATTCATTGCCCACCTAGAGCCCCCAGAGTTGACACTGGATGCCGGTATGACCCGTGAGGTGAAGGCCATGGCTGGCACACACATTAATCTCATGGCAGAAATCAAAGGTGCTCCCTTCCCTACTGTCACTTGGAAGAAGAATGAGGCAGAGGTGCCAACAAGAGCCGATATTGAGACCAATCAGACTGGCACTAAGTTGGAGATGAGATTCTGTAACCGAGAGGATTGTGGTGACTACACCCTCACTGTGGAGAATGCAGCTGGATCAAAAACTGTTACATGCACTGTTCTGGTATTTGGTAAGTTGATGAACATAATATAGCTTTATCACTTTCATTGTAAGTTATCATCATTGTGTTGATTTACAAGTGTTTTAAATTATTTCCTCTTGTGAATGTTTGATGGTGTCTTTAGACAAACCGGGCCCCATCCAGCACTTGCGAGTGTCTGATGTCAGATGCGATTCTGTAAACTTGTCCTGGAAAGACCCTGAGGACAATGGTGGTGTACGCCTCACTAACTTTGTTGTTGAGAAGAAAGACACAACCTCCACTCAGTGGGTCCCTGTCTGCTCCACCTCCAAGAAGCGCAGCATGATGATTAAGCATCTGATGGAAGGAACTTCCTACACATTCAGAGTGGCTGCAGAGAACCAGTATGGACGCAGTGAATATGTGGAGACCCCGAAGGCTGTTAAGGTCATGAATCCATTGTGTGAGTAAACACAGCATAACCCTTTGCTCAATATATCTAAGAATTATGATGGCATCAGAACATTCTTATCTATGTGACCTCTTATATTCATAGTTCCACCTGGGCCCCCTAAAGATCTGCATCATGTTGATGTTGATAAGACAGAGGTGTGGCTGGTATGGAACTGGCCTGACCGTAATGGAGGAAGTGACATCACTGGCTTCTATGTAGAATATCAAGAAGAGGGTGAGAAGGAATGGGATGAGTGGAAGACTGTGAGTATCCCTGAGACTCATGTGACTGGCCTTGAAGAAGGAAAGACATATCGTTTCCGAGTCAGGGCTGAGAATGTTATTGGTCTCAGCAGACCTGATACCACTGTGCCAATTCTCTGCCAGGAAAAACTTGGTGAGACGCTACTCTAACACAGTGTACATGTCTTTAAAATTAAGATACAAGTCCTAGTGTGTAATTGACTTTGCTTTGTTCTTTTAGTGGCGCCTGTCCTTGAGGTGGATGTAAAGCTCACCGAAGGCATCATTGTGAAGGCTGGCACCACTATCAGGTTGCCTGCTATCATGAGAGGTATTCCTGTTCCCACTGCCAAGTGGGCCATTGAGGGAGAGGAGATCACAAGTGAAGGCAACATCAAGATCGACACTGACAACTTCTCCACTGTGCTCACAATAAATGAATGCACCCGAAACCACACTGGCACCTATCTTCTCACTGTGTCCAACCCAGCTGGCACAAAGACCGCAGCCCTCAATGTCACTGTTTTGGACGTTCCAGCCGCTCCTATTGGACCTGTTAACATCTTAGAAGTCTCCCCTGATTCAATGGTGATTGAGTGGCGTGCACCCAAAGATGATGGTGGAAGTCCAGTGACTAATTACATTGTAGAAAAAAGGGAGTCCAACAAAGAAACATGGGGAGGTGTGAGTTCTGGCAGCCTCGCCACTCAACTCAATATTACTCGCCTTCAAAAGGGAGCGGAGTATGTGGTCCGTATACGTGCAGAGAACAAAATGGGCATTGGTGCTCCATTAGAGAGTAAACCCACTGTAGCCGAGCATACTTTCATGCCCCCTAGCCCACCTGGTAAACCCCACACATCTGATATAGCTGAGGATGCCGTTACTTTAGGGTGGACCATGCCTATGGCTGATGGTGGTAGCCCAATCCATGGTTACATTGTTGAGCGCAGACACAAGGGAGGAAAGTGGATCCGTGTGAACAAGACACCTCACAAGGATCTTAGGTTAAGAGTCCTTGGATTGTTTGAGGGCAATCAATATGAATTCAGAGTATTTGCAGAGAATATTGCTGGCTACAGCGGGCCATCTCCTACCTCTGACCCATGCATACCCTGCAGACCCATAACTGCCCCAGGTCCCCCTGTCAACCCCAAAGTTAAAGACTACAGCAAATCTACTGCTGATCTGGTTTGGGTGAAACCTTCTAAAGATGGAGGCAGTCCAGTTTTGGGCTACACTGTAGAAATGAAAAAGGCTGACACTGAAGAGTGGAAGAAAGTAAACTTAGATGACCTAATTAAGCCTTGTTTCTATAAAGTAAAGGGCCTGGAAGAAGGTGTGACATACATGTTCAGAGTGTTTGCCACAAACATGATTGGAGATGGAGAGGCCAAAGAGATTCCAGAGTCCATCACTGCTCAGGATATCCTCATTCCTCCAGAGATTGAGATGGCGGATACTTGCCGTGAGCGCCTCACTGTGCGGGTTGGACACAACATCAATATCACAGGTTACATCAAGGCTCGTCCTGATCCTGAAGTGTTGTGGAGGAAAGGAGATGCTGTCCTGGAGAACAATAAGCGTGTAGCCATTACCCAAAATATGCCTGTGGCTCATATTAGAATTAAGGAGGCGACCAGGAATGACCATGGCAAATATACAATCAAGGCTTCAAACGAAGGTGGTGAGGCATCCTGTACAATTACTGTCAATGTCTTGGATAGACCTGGCCACTGCCAGAACCTCCACCTGACCTATGTCACAAAGCACTCCTGTATGATTAACTGGGAAACCCCTGAAGACAATGGAGGTTCTGAAATCACGCACTATGTTGTGGAATGCCGAGAGCCCAGCATTAGTATCTGGACCATGGTCTCATCTTGTTGCACTAATCGTAAGATCAAGGCCAAGCTCATGGACGGCCATGAATACCTGTTCCGTGTGTCTGCTGCAAACAAAGTTGGACCAGGACCCACAACTGAGACCAAGACTGCTCTTCTGGCTGTTGATCCCCTTCAAAAACCCGGAGAGCCAGAAAAATTCAGAGTTACAGACATTGGGAAAAACCATGTTTATCTTAGATGGAGGAAGCCTGACTATGATGGTGGAAGCCCTAACATCTCCTACAATCTTGAGTGCAAAGCTGTTAATGCTGAAGAATGGGAAAAACTCAATACCGGCATCCTGACTGACACCTTCTTCCTCGCAGACAATCGCCATGAGAACCAGATCTACTCCTTTAGGTGAGTTGCATTGTATTTCATATTGATTACCCATTATGAATAATTAAAAAGTAGACATGTTTAGTGAAAATTCTCTCTGTACCAAAAACCTCATTTTTTAAACCACACATTCTAAAACCTTTTTTGATTGCTATAGGGTGCAAACAGTTGGTGATGGAGGCGAGAGTGCTTGGGTCAAACTTGACAACATTTTGGTGAAAGAGGAAATTCAGAAGCCTGTTATTGATTTGAAGCTTTCTGGAAGCATGACTGTGAAGGCTGGAGAATCTGTCCGAATCGAAGCCGGGTTGAGAGGTAAACCCCCACCTGAAGTCAAGTGGGTCAAAGATAAGGCTGTGGGCAACAACCCCAGAATGAGCTACGAGACTGGTGACGATTACTCCAAGTTCCTGCTGACCAAATCTAGACGCACTGATACCGGAAAATACGTCATCACTGCCACCAACTCGGCTGGTACCTTCACTGCTTACGCCAATGTGAATGTGCTGGACACCCCCGGACCTGTCAGGAATCTCAGAGTTACTGGTATTGGACCTGACAAGTGCAGAGTTGTGTGGGATGGCCCAGAGGACGATGGAGGCTGCGAGGTGGACAGCTACATTGTGGAGAAATGTGAGACTAGAAGAATGGTCTGGTCCACATACTCTGCTTCTGTGGTCACACCTTACTGCAACATTACCCGTCTTGTGGAAAGCAACGAGTACATCTTCAGAGTGAGGGCTGAGAATAAGATGGGAACTGGCCCAGCTTTAGAAACCAAGCCTGTGACAGTCAAGACTCAGTTCAATAAGCCTGGACCTCCCGAAGCCCCAGATGTCACTAAGGTAATCTTTTAACACTTGGATTTCTAGGATAATAGACTCTCAATAAATGTATACTGCAACATGTCTTAATTCACTCACTCCATTTCTCTATGTTCCATCAAGGTGAGCAAAGAGGAGATGACGGTTGTATGGGCTCCTCCCGAAAACGATGGTGGAAAGTCTATCACTGGATATATCCTGGAGAGGAAGGAAAAGAGAGCAGTGCGCTGGGTGCCATGCAACAAGAGTCCCATTTCAGAGAGGCGCATGAAAGTTACCAACCTCATCCCCAACCATGAGTACCAGTTTAGGGTAAAGGCTGAGAATGAAGTTGGTCTGGGTGAGCCAAGCAAAGCCTGCAGACCTGTTGCTGCCAAAGATCCCATTGGTAAATGTGTAGTTTATCTATTAAAACGATTTTAAGTTAAATTATCTCATTGTGAATCCTCTAATTTCCTTAAATGTGGTCATACATTCAATTCACAGAACCCCCAGGCCCTCCTGCCGGACTCAAAGTGGCTGACAGTACCAAGACATCCATTACTCTTGGTTGGTCCAAACCTGTATATGATGGTGGAGCTCCTATTATCAACTACAGTCTGGATTTGAGACTGAAGAGTGACTGTGATCCAGAGAAACCTTCTGAAGGTTGGAAGAGAATAGATACCCATGGCCCGCTGGTTCACACTGAGTTTACCATCAATCAGCTGGATGAAAAACTAGAGTACGACTTCAAAGTCTCTGCACAGAACCAGGTGGGCTGGGGACGACATGCGTACCTAAAGGAGACTGTTTCTCCCAAGGAAGTTCTGGGCAAGTATTTTACTTCATTTAGTATTTTTTCACGTCTCAAGCATGTGTCATTAATCTAAAGTGTACTTTTAAAATTACTACAGAGGCCCCTGAGATTGACTTGGATGCAAGCTTAAGGAAAGGCTTGGCTGTGAGAGCCGGGTGCCCAATTAGGCTATTTGCTGTAATTAGAGGCAGACCTGCTCCTAAAGTCACATGGAAGCGCATGGGTGTGGACAACGTAGTGCGCAGAGGTCATGTGGATCAAGTGGACACCATGTCCTTCCTGGTCATTCCTGAAAGCACAAGAGAAGACTCAGGACAATACTCTCTCACACTTTCAAACTCGGCTGGAGAAAAAGCCGTGTTTGTGCGTGTCAAAGTACTTGGTGAGTCTCATACAGTAGCTATAAAGATCATCATTCTTCTCTAATAATTATTGTATTTAATCAATACATTGTGATCTGTGTTTTAAGATACACCTGGGCCTGTTGGTGGTTTTGAGGCTACTGATGTTACAAAGACAAATGCCCAGCTTTCTTGGCTGCCACCAGATAATGATGGTGGAAGTCCCATTACAAATTATATTGTTGAGAAGCGTGAGGTTGACAGGAAGACCTGGACCAAGTGTACTGACGACCATAAGAAGCCTAGTTTTAAAGTTACCACCATGACTCCTGGAATTGAGTACTATTTCAGAGTTATGGCATGCAACAAATATGGCATTGGAGTTCCTCAAGACTCACCAAAGTCCTACTTGGCTGTTGATCCAATGAGTAAGTCTTTTACTAAATTCTGAATAATCAGTTTCAAGTTCAAACATATTATGGTTTTGTCCTAAACAATTTTAATGCTATTCAGGTGAGCCTGATCCTCCAAAGAAGATGGATGTGTTGGAGATAACCAAGAACAGTGCCACACTGGGATGGCTGAAGCCTCTCAGAGATGGAGGATCAAAGATCAACGGTTACGTGGTAGACTACCAGGAAGATGGTGCTGCCGAGGACAAGTGGACACCCTACTCAGTGGTCAAAGATATGACGATTGTGGTGGTTGGCCTGAAGGAAGGAACCAAATACAAGTTTAGAGTAGCAGCTAGGAACGTAGTGGGAGTCAGCTTGGCAAGAGAAGCAGAGGGAATGTTTGAGATCAAAGACCAGCTCAGTAAGTAGTTATCTGATTTAAAACTATGTGTAACATTAATAGTAATATGCAATAAGCAACATTGTTCTTTTCACAGTGCCCCCAAAGATCATCATGCCTGACATTGTCACTGTGAGAGCTGGCTCTAAAATGGTGGTTGAAGCCATTATTGCTGGAAAACCTGCTCCATTCTGCAAATGGAAGCAGGGTAGTGAGGATGTTCTGACTTCAGATCGTCTGCAAGTTGTTAAGACACTGACAACATGCACACTCATCATAAAAAATGTTACAAGACAAGACAGTGGTTACTACAGCCTGGCAGCTGAAAACAGCTCTGCAAGAATAAACCAGATTCTCAAAGTCATTGTCATGGGTCAGTTGTGTATTCTAGCATATATATTTATATATAAATGTGTATTCATTTATTGACCTATGCCTTTTTTTGCAGACTTGCCTGGTCCTCCCGAGGGTCCTCTGGAAATCAATGAACGGGACATTGATGCCTGCACACTGCAATGGCGCTCACCCCAAGAAGACGGTGGCAGCAACATTACCAACTATATCATTGAGAAATGCGACGTCAGCCAGGGTGACTGGATGACTGTTTCAATCTCCTGCACCAAGACAGAATTCAGAATGACAAAACTGACTCCTGGCAAGGAGTATGGTTTCAGAGTTCGTGCTGAGAACAGATTTGGGGTTTCTGAGCCTATTTATTCGGAGAGGATTATTGCTCGACATCCATTTGGTGAGTCCACAATCACATTTTAATGTAAATTTGAAACAAATAAAAAATCTGATTCCTAAATCTGAATGAGATGTGCATATTTCAGATCCTCCAAGTGAGCCATTGAACCTGCAGATCAACAAGATCAACAAGGACTTTGTCATTCTGTCATGGGAGCGTCCGAGCAGTGATGGTGGCAGTCCACTTATGGGATATTGTATTGAGAAAAAAGAAAGGAATAGCATTCTTTGGGTCAAGGCTAATGAGTCTGTGGTCAAAGCCACTCAGTACACATGCACCGGCCTGATGGACGGCCTGGAGTACAGTTTTAGAGTTTCTGCTCTCAACATTGCTGGACAGGGTAAACCTTGCAAACAGACCGACTTTATAACTGCCAGAACTGCAGTTGGTAAGAAACAATGTTTAAACCAAACCAAACTATTTGCTTACAATTTGAATTAATCCTTTTATGTTTTCAGATCCACCTGGTAAACCTGAGCCCATGGATGTGACCAGGAGCTCTGTGTCACTGGTCTGGAACAGACCTAAACACGATGGTGGCAGCAAATTGATTGGATACTTTATGGAGTATACAAAGCTTCCTGAAGACAAATGGACACGCTGCAATGCGAACCCCATCAACATCCAGACTGAAAACTATGTAGTGACTGGTTTGGAGGAAGGTCAGCAGTACCAGTTTAGAGTCATTGCTAAGACTGCCATCAACATTAGCGCTCCCTCAGAACTATCAGATCCTATTCCAGTCATTGCAGAGAACGGTATGAACAATCAAAGTCCTAATAATTTATTTTGATGTTGTAATAATATAAAATTGCCACTTATTTGCAGTGCCTCCTCGTGTTGAGTTGGGAGTCAACATGAAAAACATGATTATTGTAAAAGCAGGTGAGAATGTATTCATGGATGCAGAAGTTTTTGGCAAACCCTTACCCAAGGTGAGCTGGAAGCGAGATGGTGCACCTCTTGTACTTGCGGAGGGAATGAAGAGGAAACAAGTGAAGCATGTTCACTTCCTTGAGCTGTATTCAGTAACCAGAAAGGAATCTGGAGACTATAGTATTACAGCTGAAAATCAGAACGGCTCCAAATATGCAACTATCAAGGTCAAAGTTCTTGGTAAGTAGTTGTACTTCAAACTCTGGTTGTATACATTGCTTACTGTTGATAGTTGTATACATTTGTCTTTTAAGCATGTGCTGTATAAATCTAAAGCAGAATTGTAAGCAATAATACCCGTAACTTTTGCAGACAAGCCAGGTCCTCCAGCTTCAGTGAAAATTGCAAAGGTGTTTTCTGATCGTGTTAAAGTACGTTGGGAGCCACCAAAGGCAGATGGTGGTTCTGAGATCACTAACTACATTATTGAGAAGCGGGAGACAAGTAGGGCCAATTGGGCTCTTGTTACTTCCAACATTCATGGTCACATCACTGACTGCTCTGTGGAGAAACTGATTGAAGGACATGAGTATCAGTTTAGAGTCAGTGCTGAAAACCAGTATGGTGTTGGGGATCCCATTATGACTGATGGCGTCATGGTGAAAAATCCCTATGGTATGTTACAAATTAAAAACATCCATATATAATATGTACAATATTTACAGTCTTCTTTATCATGCATTTTAGATGTCCCTGGTCCTTGTGAGCCACCTGTTATCACCAACATAACCAAAGACTCAATGACGGTCAGTTGGAAGGCACCAGCTAATGATGGCAAAGCAGCTATTATAGGATACTTGGTGGAAAAACGTGAAGCCACTGAGCTCACCTGGGCTAAGGTTAATCGGCGCCCAGTTATTGACAGGACTATTAAAGCTACTCAACTCACTGAGGGGTCTGAGTATGAATTCAGAGTCATTGCCATAAATAAAGCAGGTTTAGGTAAACCCAGTGATGCATCAAATGCTGCCCTTGCAGTCGACCCAGTCTGTAAGTTTTTATTAATATAAAATATAACGTTTTATGCCTCAGGATAAAAATAATAACATATGATTTCTTAACTCTAGATCCCCCTGGTCCTCCTGCTTTCCCTAAAGTGGTCGACTCCACTAAGAGCTCTGTCAGTCTTAGCTGGACCAAGCCCGCCTATGATGGAGGCTGTGAAATTATTGGTTATTTAGTGGAGTGCAAGAGGGTTGAAGCTGAGGAGTGGAATAAATGCAATGTTCCTAAAAAACTTCAAGCTACAAAGCTTGTAGTAACAGGTTTGATGGATACCGCAGAGTACCAATTCAGAGTGATTGCTGTAAACAAGATTGGCGATAGTGAGCCAAGTGATGTCCCTGGAAATCATACTCCAAAGGATATATTGAGTATGTATTCTTTATTCAATATTCTTCTTTCCAAGCCAAATTCATCAGCATGTCTTAAATAAATATTATCCTCGTTTTAGTTGCTCCTGATGCTGAGCTTGACGCAGACTTAAGGAAAGGTCTGGTTCTTCGTGCTGGCGTCACCATGAGATTGTATGTTCCACTGAGGGGCCGTCCAGCTCCAAAGGTAACCTGGTCTAAGGTAGATGCTGATCTTAAAGAAAGACGTGGCGTTCTCATCAAGACTTCAGAATGGGACACACTCCTCATGATTGAAGACGTGAATAGATATGATGCTGGAAAATATGCTCTCACCCTGGAAAATAGTAGCGGAACAAAGACTTTCACCATTGTAGTAAAAGTCAATGGTAAGTCTTTATAAATAGATAACAAATGTTGCTCTTTGTTCTGTAGATTTGAGTGACTAAAGTAACACTTTTATTCTCAGATTCTCCTGGACCACCTACAAATCTTGTTGTGAAAGAAACATCCAGAAATCATGCGTGGATCACTTGGGATGCACCTCTTATTGATGGTGGAGGCCCCGTCAAAAACTATGTAGTGGAAAAGCGTCTTGCTGAAAGAAAGGCCTGGACCTGCGTGAATGCAAATTGTGCTAGACCCTCTTTTAAGATCATGAACTTAGAGCCAGACCAAGCGTACTTATTTAGAGTACTCGCTGAGAATGCCTTCGGAATTGGAGAGGGAGTCGAAACACCTGGAAGTGTTCGGGCATCTGGTAAAGAACCTAGTTAAAAAAAACGTACCCCTTTCACTGTATAGTGATATATTTACATGATATATTTGTCTCCTACAGAAAAACCTGGGCCAGTAAATGAGTTCAAAGCCACAAAGATCACCAGGAATTCCATAACACTTGGATGGAAAAAGCCTATCACTGATGGTGGCAGCTTTGTCACAGCATACATCTTGGAGCAAAGTGAAGGCGAAGACAAATGGAAGCAGATTTTCAAAGGCAAAAATACCTCACACAGCATAAGTGAGCTGTCTGATGGAACTGAGTACTTGTTTAGAGTCAAGGCGCTCAATGAATCAGGAGAAGGCCCACCCACTGACCTAGCTGTTATTGCCAAAGATCAATTTGGTGAGAAAACGAAATGTGCATACATTTGTTTTATTAATCATTGTTTGACCTGTATATACATATATATTTACATATGTTAATTTTGTTTTAGTTCTTCCTGACTGCAACTTGAGCAATCTGCACGATGGCTGCTGTGTGGTTAAGGAGGGCAGCACCACACGTATTAACATCCCACTTACTGGCATTCCTCTACCAACTGCCACATGGAAGAAGGGGGATGTTGGCATTGGAGATACTGGGCGCATGTGTGTGGAGGCTTCACCAGGCGTTACTACTTTGCTGATCAGGGATTGCCAGAGAGGAGATGCTGACACATACACAATCAATGTGAAGAACAGTGCGGGCACCAAAGATGGCAAATTCCAAATCAAAGTGGTTGGAAAACCTGGAATCTGCACAGGTCCTATTAAATTTGATGAAATTACAGCAGATGCTATAACACTAGAATGGGCACCACCTAAAGATGACGGTGGTGCTGAGGTGTCCAATTATATTGTTGAGAAAAGAAGAACAACTGACAACAAGTGGGCCACAGTCGCTTCAGCTATTCAGAAAACCACAATGAGGGTGGTCCGTCTACACGATGGCATCGAATACATCTTCAGAGTGTTTGCTGAGAACAAGTACGGGGTTGGAGAGTACCTGAGATCAGAGCCTGTCATTGCTCAGCATCCATTCAGTAAGTGTTTAAACTTTCAGTGTTCTGGGCACTTTTATTTTATTCAAGTTTGTGCTGTCACAATACAACAATGTCCAACTAATCAGTTCTACTTTAAACTTGTTGTTTTATGTACATTCTTGATTATTTTGTGGGGAAAAACTTCACTGCATCAATATTGCATTTATAACTGCAAACAATTGCAATCCCACATAATAAAATCAACTGCACAATGTCATATACCAATACCAAATAAATAGTGAATAAAAATAATATTAATTATACATGTGTCCCTTTATCAGCTTGATTTACTTTATTCTATATTTTGAAAATATTTTCTATTAATAGATGTACCTGATGCCCCTGCTCCTCCTGAGATTCTGAGCATTCGTCATGAATGTGCTCTTCTTAGCTGGACAGATCCAAAAGACACTGGCGGCTCCCCAATAACTGGTAAAGTTAAAGTAAAATCTTAAAAAAACAAAAAAATAACATTTTTTAAACTGGATTAATCATCTTGTTTTCAGGGTATCATGTAGAGTTCAAGGAAAGAAATAGTCTTATGTGGAAACGGGCCAGCAAAACTCCCTTGAGAGTTAAGGATTGCAGAGTTACTGGCCTGATTGAGGGGCTAGAGTATGAATTTAGAGTGATGGCTATGAATATGGCTGGCATTGGAAAGGCAAGCAAAGTGACTGAGGCAGCTGTTGCCTTGGATCCTATTGGTAAGTAACTTGTTCTTAAGTAGAACTTTTAAAATGGCAAAATAAACTTAAACTATTTGTCTACTGTCTTAGATCCTCCTGGAAAACCTGATGTCATTAACATCACCCGTAACAATGTTACTCTGATCTGGACTCCTCCTAAATATGATGGCGGCTACAAGCTTACTGGCTACATGGTGGAGAAGCTTGAATCGGGTGGAAAGGCTTGGATGAAAGCCAACCACGTTAACATCCATGGTTGTGCTTTTACTGTACCTGATCTCACGGAGGGAGGACAATACCAGTTTAGGATTCGCGCTAAGAATTCAGCTGGAGCCATCAGTGTACCATCAGAAGAAACTGAGTCTCTGACATGCAAGGATGAGTATGGTAGGTCACTAACTAAGACAACCTAACGTTAAATACCATGGAAGAAGTTTTATATTAATGATATCCCATTCTTCGCAGAGCCACCAACCATCACAATCCACCCAGATATGAAGGATGGTGTTTCTGTTAAGGCAGGAGATACAATTGTTATTACTGCTTCAAAGATTGTTGGTAAACCGCCACCAACTGCAGCCTGGTCCAAGGGAGGCCGCGAACTGAAGAACTCTGAAGTCGTCAACATCACTACCACCCCAACTGCTTCCACAATTGCTATTAAATATGCCAGCAGGAAGAACACAGGGGACTATGTAATCACTGCAAGCAATCCATTTGGCATTAAAGAAGAACATGTCAAGGTCAAGGTCCTGGACAACCCTGGTCCACCTGGTCCTGTTGAGGCTAGTAATATTTCAGCTGAAAAGTGTACGTTGACTTGGCTTCCACCTGATGAGGATGGAGGTAGTACCATTAAGTCCTACATTCTGGAGAAGAGAGAAACCAGTCGACTGCAATGGACCAAAGTTGCAGAAAACATTATGGATTGCAGATACATAGTTAATAAACTTATTAAAGGTAATGAGTACATCTTCAAAGTGTCTGCTCTAAATCAATATGGCATAGGAGATTCAAGTCAGTCCGCTCCAGTGAAAATGGTTGACAGCTACCGTGAGTATTTTGTTCTTATCTTAATACATTTTAAGTGATTAAGACTAAATAAATAATTTTAATTTGATTTTCCCACAGGCCCACCTGGCCCTCCATCAGTCCCAGAGGTTGATAATATTACCAGGAATGCTGTTACTATTTCATGGAAGAGACCAGTCCAGGATGGAGGAAGTGACATTAGAGGCTATTGTGTTGAAAGGAAAGAAAAACGAGGCATGAGATGGGTTAGAGCATGTAAGAGAACAGTCCCTGACCTGCGCTTCAAGGTGCAAGGCCTGAGCGAGGGAGTTGAATATGAGTTCAGAGTTACTGCTGAAAATAAAGCTGGATTTGGGGAGCCAAGTGAGCCATCATGCCCTGTGATGACAAAGGATATTGTCTGTAAGTAATTGAAATGACTATGACAGAATATGATCTGTATTTAATATGATTGCATTTATATACAATTGTATTGTCCACAGATCCACCTGGTCCTCCATCGAATCCCAGAATTTCGGAGACAACCAAAACCACAGCCTCTTTCGCTTGGGGTAGACCTCATTACGACGGAGGTCTTGAAGTAGACGGATATATTGTTGAGTACAAGAAAGAAGGTCATGATGACTGGGAGACTGAGACTCAATATCCTATTAAAGTAACGGACTATGTCATTGGAAAGCTTCAAAAGGGAGGAAAATATCACTTCAGAGTTAAAGCTGTCAACTCCGAGGGCACAGGTGAACCTGCAGAAGTTGAGAATGTGATTGAACTGGTAGACCAGGAGACATTGCCGGACTTTGAGCTGGATGCCGAACTCAGAAGAACTCTTGTTGTTCGTTGCCGCGCTTCAATTCGGATGTTTGTTCCTATTAAAGGTCGCCCAGTTCCGGAGGTAACCTGGAGCAAAGAAGACACAAACCTTAAAACAAGAGCTCACATTGATACTACAGAATCATACACACTGCTGGTCATACCAGACTGCACGCGATATGATGCTGGAAAATACAATCTCTGTCTTGAAAATGTTGCTGGAAAGAAGACAGGCTTTGTAAATGTGAAGGTTCTTGATTCACCAGGACCACCAGTTAATCTTAAACCAAGGGAAATAACAAAGAATAGTATTACTCTCCAATGGGAGATTCCTATTATTGATGGAGGCTCAAAGATTCACAATTATATTATTGAAAAGAGGGAAGCCACCAAGAAGGCATATACAGTTCTGAGCACTTCATGGCAAAAGTGTTCATTCAAGATACTTGATCTGGAGGAAGGAGCTTATTACTACTTCAGAGTCTCTGCTGAGAATGATTTAGGTGTGGGCGAGCCTGCAGAAACCCCTGAGCCTATCAGAGTCTCTCAAGCCCCTTCTGCGCCAGAGAACTTATATGTTACAGATGTCACTGCGGAGAGCGCAAGTCTTTCATGGACCAAACCTCTACATGATGGAGGTAGTTTGATAACTGGCTATGTTATTGAGTCTCAAAAGAAAGACACTGATCTGTGGGTTCATGCAACAACTATCAAGGCATTGGACTACACCATCACAGATTTGATTGAAGGGGCAGAATACACTTTCCGTATCATGGCTGTCAACGCATCAGGCAGAAGTGACCCCCGTGAGAGTAGACCAGCTATCATTAAAGAGCAGACATCTGCGCCTTCATTTGACATGCGAGGAGTGTACCAGCAGACTGTAATTGCCAAAGCTGGAGATCGTGTCAAGGTAGAAATCCCAGTTCTTGGAAAACCGAAGCCTGCAGTTACCTGGAAAAAGGGTGATGTTGTTCTAAAGGAAACACAACGAATGAATATTGAAACAACGTCTACTTCTACTATTCTCAACATCGGAGAGATCAAGAGAAGTGATGGAGGCCAATACAGTATGATTGGAAAGAATCTGCTGGGTACAGTAACAGAAACCATCACAGTACTTGTCCATGATATCCCAGGTGCTCCAACTGGTCCTATTAAACTAGAAGAAATATCCTGTGACTATGTTCTCATGTCCTGGGAAGCACCAGAAAATGATGGAGGAGTTCCCATTAACAACTACATTGTAGAGATGCGTGAAACTACAGGTTCTGGCACTTGGATGGAACTTGCAGCAACAGTTATTCGCACTACATTCAAGGCAGCAAGGCTCACAACTGGAATGACATATCAATTCCGTGTAAAGGCACAGAACAGATATGGTATTGGACCTTGTCTTGTGTCAGAAACTGTGGTGGCAGCCTATCCGTTTGAAGTGCCAGGTCAACCAGGCATTCCAGAGGTTACCTCTTTTAACAAAGATTCCATGACACTAAGCTGGAATGAACCATCTTCAGACGGAGGAAGTCCTATACTCGGTTACCACATTGAGAGGAAAGAGAAGAACAGCATCCTTTGGCAGAGAATAAGTAAAGCTCTTGTTGTTGGCAATATCTTTAAATCCACCGGTCTTGTTGATGGAATCGTATATGAATATCGTATTACTGCTGAAAATATGGCTGGTCTGAGCAAACCAAGCAAACCCTCTGAACCAGTCTATGCCTTGGATCCAGTTGACCCACCAGGTAGACCTGTGGCTCTTAATATTACCAGACATGAGGTGACTGTCTCTTGGACCAGACCAGAGGGGGATGGCGGATTTTCAATTACTGGATATACTGTAGAGAGGCGAGAGCTTCCCAATGGACGTTGGCTCAAGGCCAACTTTAATAACATACTTGAGACTATTTACACTGTCAGTGGTCTAATAGAGGATGCCACATATGAATTCCGCGTGTTTGCAAGAAACTCTGCTGGTGCTGTTAGCGCTCCATCACAATCATCCGAACCAATAACTTGCAGAGATGATATTGAGGAACCTCGACTTGATGTTGATGCACATTACAGTAGCAATGTTGTTGTTATGGCAGGAGAGGTCTTCAAGCTGGAGGCCAGTGTAACCGGCCGACCCATCCCTTCATTGGTTTGGACAAAAGAAGGCAAAGAGCTTGAAGACACAGCAAAGATCGAAATCAAGTCAACAGACTTTCACACAACTCTCATTAGCAAAGACTCACTGAGAAGAGATGGTGGTGCATTCACTTTGAAAGCAAGCAACCCTGGTGGCTTCGCCAAGTTTACATTTAATGTTAAGGTACTTGATAGACCCGGGCCCCCAGATTCTCTTACAATTACAGATGTGGCTGCTGAGAAATGTGTTCTTAATTGGTTGCATCCTACTCATGATGGTGGTGCAAAGATTGAATACTTTATCATTCAGCGACGTGAAACAAGTAGGCTGGCTTGGACAAATGTAGCCACAGATCTCCAAGCTAACAGATTCAAAGTGACTAAACTTCTAAAAGGAAATGAGTATATCTTCAGAGTCATGGCTGTTAACAAGTATGGTGTGGGTGAACCCACAGAATCTGAACCTATCATTTGTGTCAACCCCTATGTCCCAAGTGATCCACCCTCTCAACCTGAAGTCACCACTATTACTAAAGACTCTATGGTTGTGTGTTGGGAGCGACCAGAACATGATGGTGGAAGCCGAATAAATACCTATATCATTGAAAGAAGAGATAAGACAGGGTTAAGATGGGTGAAGTGTAACAAGAGGACTGTTACAGACCTAAGATTTAAGGTTTCTGGCCTTACACCAGGTCATGAGTATGAGTTTAGAGTATTTGCTGAAAATAATGCTGGCCTAAGCCAACCCAGTCCTTCCAGTCCATTCTACAAGGCTGTTGACACCATCTTTCAACCAGGACCTCCTGGAAATCCAAGGGTCCTGGATACTACAAAGTCCTCCGTCACTTTGGCATGGAACAAGCCTGTGTATGATGGTGGTTCAGAAATCACTGGATATGTTGTAGAGACTTGTCTTCCAGAAGAGGATGAATGGACAATTCAAACTCCCAAAAAAGGATGGACGGCTACATCTTTCACTATAACAAACTTAAAAGAAAATCAAGAATACAAAATAAACATTTGTGCGACTAACTGTGAAGGAGTTGGAGAGCCTGCTGCAGTGCCAGGATCACCAAAAGCTGAAGATAGACTCCTTGCTCCAGAAATTGAACTTGGGGCAGAGTTACGCAAAGTTGTTTGCATAAGAGCTTGTAGCACTCTTAGACTCTTTGTGCCCATCAAAGGTAGACCAGCACCTGATTTGAAATGGTCAAGAGAACATGGGGAATCCTTGGACAAAGCTATCATTGAGATAACTCCATCATTTACTACACTTCAAATTGAAAATGTTGACAGGTTTGATGGTGGTAAATATATAGTCACTGTAGAGAATGCTTCTGGAAGCAAGTCAGCCTTTGTGAATGTTAGAGTGCTCGATACCCCAGGGGCACCTCAAAATCTCCTAATCAAAGAGATCACAAGAGACTCTGTCTCACTTGTTTGGGATGCCCCTCTCATTGATGGTGGCTCAAGAATTCGGAACTATATTGTGGAAAAACGTGAATCGGCTAGAAAAGCATACTCAACTGTTTGTGCAAGCTGCCATAAGTCTAGCTGGAAAATTGGAGAGCTGGAAGAAGGAAAAAATTATTTCTTTAGAGTCTTGGCAGAAAACGAATATGGCATTGGGCTCCCTGTGGAAACAATGGAACCAATTAAAGTATCAGAGAAGCCACTGCCTCCTGGTAAAGTTTCCCTTGTGGAAGTAACAGGAACTAGTATCACTCTCAAATGGGAAAAACCTGATTATGATGGCGGTAGCAGGATCACAGGCTATATTGTAGAAATGCAGGGTAAGGGAAGTGACAAATGGACGCAGGTTGTGATGGTGAAATCCACTGAAGCTACTGTCACTGGACTTACTCAAGGAGAGGAGTATATGTTCAGAATTTCAGCTACAAATGAAAAAGGGGTTAGTGATCCACGTCCTCTGAATGTTCCTGTTGTTGCTAAAGACTTGGTAATTCCACCTACTTTCAAATTGGCCTTCACCACTTTCAGTGTGCTGGCAGGTGATGATCTTAAGATGGACATACCTTTTGCTGCCTGTCCAAAAGCAACTGTTACATGCCTGAAAGATGGTGTTGCCCTGAAGGAAACCACAAGAGTGAATGCTGAGGCCACAGAAAAAAATCTCCACATTGTCATCAAAGAGGCTTGCAGAGATGATATTGGAACATACACAATAAA